GGGATGGAGTGGGGTGGTGTGGGATGGAGTTGGGTGGTGTGTGATAGAGTGGGGTGGTGTGGGATGGAGTGGGGTGGTGATGGGATGGAGTTGGGTGGAGTGGGATAGAGTGGGTTGGTGTGGGATGGAGTGGGGTGGTGTGGGATGGAATGCGGTGGCGTGGGATGGAGTGGGGTGGTGTGGGATGGCATGGGGTGGTGTGGGATGGAATGCGGTGGTGTGAGATGGAGTGGGGTGGTGTGGGATTGAGTTTGGTGGTGTGGGATGGAGTGGGGTGGTGTGGGATTGAGTTGGGTGGTGTGGGATTGAGTTTGGTGGTGTGGGATTGAGTTTGGTGGTGTGGGATGGAGTGGGGTGGTGTGGGATGGAGTGGGGTGGTGTGGGATTGAGTTGGGTGGTGTGGGATTGAGTTTGGTGGTGTGGGATGGAGTGGGGTGGTGTGTAAACATCGCCACTTTAGAGACAAAAGCGGCCGGACGTGGTCGTGGCCACCCAACCCCTAGTATGGGTGCTCGCTAACAGCACTTGCCCCAACTGTCTGTTGAGGCTACACGGGGGGTCTTTGTCTTTGGCGCCGCTGGTGTTGATCGTTGAGGGGTAGAATTGCTGCTGCTGCTGGGTTATGAGCGGACAACTGGATATGAATGGGATTTGTTGCAGAGCCGCGACTTATGAATAAGGCGCGAACAGCCAATCTTACGGGAATGCGCGTGAACACAACCATAAGTTTAGAATGCAAATCATTGGTTTAGTAAATGTGTGTCAACGGCAGTCCCCAACATACAAAAACGAGAGAGAGAGGTCACACGCGCACCATGTGCTAATAATAGACCAGCACTAACATTGCCCAGATGTGTTTGGTCATGGGAACACAACCTATCTCTCGTTCTCAGTCTCGCTCACCATCTGTTCTCCGTCTTCGTCTCTGCTCTGTACCGCCCGATTAACGAGCAGCGGATGCAAAGGAAGCGGGCGCGTACAGGGACGAAGTCGACATCTGAGCGAGGCGCACGGAACGACAGCCACGGAAAACACCTTGAGAGGTGGCGTGGTGCCGTGCGCAGGTAGGAGTGGTCGTGCCTTACTGCGGCGCTCTATCCACTGCTGGACGCAACAGCCACGCGGCCCGCACATTGAACACGAGTCCCCATTGAAATGGGTCATCGTGTTTTATATGAAAGGAGGATGCAACGTGCAGTGCTACCATGGCTAGCAGTGCCATCATGATTATAGGGCCGACACTCAACCACGGGAATCGGGTATGTGCCCCCCCTCCTCCTATTCTAGTTTATGTTTTAATGATTATCCCTCACCCCTAAAACAGACGAACATCAGCGCAGGGTGCAGTGAGACGAACAGGCGAGCGTCCCTCTCCGTATGGCCGTGTCTTTGTTGGGCTTCGTGTATTTGTTGGTTTCCGTGTCTCTTGTGGGTTTTCTGGTCACTGTGTTTGTTGGTCTCTGCTTGCGACCGTCTCTATCTCTCCGTATCTGCTCTCTTGTTGTCGTCTTGTCTCTACGTCTGAGTGCCTTGATCCGTGTCTATTGAGTCGTCTCCTCCGTTTGTCTCTCTGGCCAGTGTTTCTGTGCATTTCGACGACTCTCTCCACGGTATCTCTCTCTCCGTATAAACTTTCCCCGTCTTCTTGTGTCCCACTGCATCTCGTCTCGAGCTCTCCCTGTCACTTGAGTCGCCTCTGCGTCTGTCTCCGTGTATTGTCTGTCATGAACAACCCCACCACTTCTGCCTCATTACCCCCCCCCCCCGGGCTCCCCTCTACACCCCCCTAGACCTCAACATACCCCCGCGAACCGCTCTCCTTCACCGCGTGCGGTCCTCAATGGTCACGCATGGCAGGCGCTGCGGTGCCACCAAACACGAGGCACGGAAAGATCACCATCGATGATGCACCATCGCCCTGAACACATTCTCACGCTCGCGAGACACAGGCAAAGCTGATATTGCGTAAGAGAATCTGCGGCATTGGATATGTTGCACCAAATATCACGCCACGAAAGGCCATTTCCCCCCCTGTTTATGCAAACGTTACGCTGACACTGCATGTACTCTGCTAATGGCAACAACGTTGAGGCGTAACACAAAGCAGATAGTGGAACGGGACAAGACGAATTGACTCTGGATTCATGATCCCGGGACGATGGCATCTCAGTGGAAGCTGGAGCTCACACCCCTCATCGGAAGCCAACAGCATCCCTCACTAGTAAGCCTACGTGTTAAAAAGCACCACGAACTGCCCGTGCGCTCCATGCATGGTCACGGCGCAACCCAGAACACCGCTTCCCGTGGCCTCAAGAACCCCATATTCAGTGCAGCGCTGCAGTCGGGTTTAGTATTTTTTTTGCAATCCCAGCGCCACCATCTCAGACGCGGGGTGTGCCCACTCCACGCACGGAGAGGAAGTCGAAGCGACTCTGCTCGCCCCAGGCAGGAGGCGCTCTTGCCGAGGGGACCCGACAAACCTCACAAACGATTGATGCGCGAAGCCCACTGATTTAATGTTTGTTTGAAGTTGTTTTTATTGTAACTCACCCCGCCCTCCCAACTAAATTGCTTCCCTAGCCTAGTCCCGAATGCTCGATATCGTGCAACGAGAGTGAACCTCCTTTTATCCACATCCATATTAAGTGCTATTATGCGCGACCTCGGATTGACCCCCGCTATCCATCGGCTGATTTTTCCTTTATTGAAAAAAATCCAAAAGGAATCATGCAGATTCTCAATCCCGCTGGCCTTTCCCTTGGTTGTACGACGATGACACGTAACTGAAGTCTCTGCGAGCCTCATGGATGTTAAATCGCAACATTACTGTTATAAAAGTAAATTACTTTAACATTGATATTTGCGTTTTTTCCACTTTTATCTGGCAACAAAACTGACACCTTTTTTTACAATGAGTCATGTTTGCATTGACCACAATACCTGCGGTCGGGATGCAAACAAAAAACACAACTCTGATAATGTATGCACTGTCCTTGAAATTGATTGGTCCACACCCGAGACAGCTTTTCTTAGAGCCTAGTCTCACATGGTGTTGGACCAGATGACGCCAAAAGGCACACAACTCAAAGACAATGCACCAGAGTATGAGAGCTCGGGGTAAGCATTTACACCAATGGAACCTCCTTTGCCAGTAGCAAAATATGATAATTGTTTTTTTACCCTTTTATCTGGCAACAAAACGGACACCTTTATTACAAGGAGTCATGTTTGCATTGACCACAATACCTGCGGTTGGAATGCAAACAAAAAACACAACTCTGAAAATGTATGCACTGACCTTGAAATTGAAAAAAATAGTGTCAGTTTTGTTGCCAGATAAAAGGCTAAAAAAACAATTATCATATTTTGCTACTGGCAAAAGAGGTTCCAATGGTACTGTAACAATGTTCAAGTGCGGGAACACGCATGCACATTGTTACCAAGTACTGTGGCTGTTCGCGCAGCAACAGCTCCCTCGCGTGTCCGTAAGCGCAGAAGCCCTCTCAGTGTGCACTAGGCCCCGTGCGTGGGACAAGGAGGGCCGAGTGGAGCCACGTGGGATATCGAGACCCCAAGCGAGACATCCTCACAAGAGGAAATCAAGATCAAAGCTGCGCACAGCTTGCACGGAGCTGGGCTGTATTCTTAAGGATTCTGAGAATAATTATCAAGGAAGGGCACAGGCATGTTTTTTTTGTTTCAGGAAACATTCTTTGTATCTTTTTTTTTAGAACATGTTACGTTTGTGCAGGACCCCCCACCCCACCCACAATCCAATCAACAAGCCATGGGTTTTTTGTGCAAATATTGAAAAAGGACCATCAACGTTCCATTTTGCGCACATGTTGTGGTATTAGTGTGAATGACATGGGATGTTTACGTGTCCCCCGACAGGAATACCACTGTGTTGAATTTATTCATAAAGTGTCATCTTGCATATTGATAACATAAAACGCAGGCGAGGTTCGTCCACTAGGGGCGTTGCGCCACGCGCCACCAAGCAGCTGGAGGTGACAAATTGTTTCAAATAAAAATATATTATTTATACATTATTTTGTTGTGTTTAAATGTTTTTAAATATGATTATTTCAACGTGAATTGCCTAATTAAGGTAACATTTTAAGTTCATATTAGAAAACGCTTCAAGTCTGATTTATGCCTTGGGGAGGTCTCGGGGCAGCTGTGAAGGCGTCCGAGTGAGAGATATCCCTTCATTAATTACGATTATCTTCGCATTGTAGCCACGCCGTTTGATACCCATTCAGGGCGGTGAAAAAGGCGCCCATGGCTGTAATTACTATGACACAACGCTAGGTTGCACCGTGCACACACTCGAAGCTTTAGGCAGTGGCAAGCGGGTTGTGTAGTGTGGACTTGAGGGTCATGGGGACAGCATTTTAGTGCTTTGTTTTGTTTCGTATTGTTTATAAATGCCTACCGTTGTTGGTAAAGACAAGACAGGTATATCACTTTCACGAGAAGGCCAATAACATGGCGAGGTTTTTCATAATTAGAACACCATATTTTCAGAGGTCACTCACAACAGCCCCACCACCTAATGGAAATGTCCCGAACCGCCACCGATAAAAACGTGGGGTTTCCTAGTCGATACTCTCATCATGTTATTTTTTGGCAAGGCAATGTCGTGGTTTCAGTTTGCCATAAAACTATACTACGTGGCCTAGCCGAAAAACAAATATGGATCATAAACAAGAATATGAATATAGATGCACTCGTGTAATGTTTAGGTGTTCCCACAGCACACACATCAGCGATATGAAGTTGAACATACTTGTTTCCATGTCACTCTTCTGTTAAGACACTGATACAAGTTTTAAAAATCGTGTAACTTATTTTGTCAAACCGGTCACATGGATATATGTAACAATTTGTTTGATATCAGTTCAGCACATTGGCTTTCGCGACCAATATTATTCATAATAAAGGTTTTTGGGTTATTAGTCCCCGTCATAATACACTTTCCATTGATGACAATAATACACATTTAAACGGCCTTCTATGTTATTTTATTTTCAAAGAAACACAGCGAATGAAAATGCAATAAATGAAAAATGAGACTAACTATACGTGACGCATTCCATCCACTCGCCAGAGCATTCTGCTGCTCAAGATTCTACCGTCAAAACAAAACGTGCAAGTCGCTGGACAGCAACGAAGTGGCTTGTCAAGGAGAAACAATTCCGTTAAGTTACTCAACAGAAAGAAAAAAAACAAAACAATGTTTAATCAGTTGTCGAGTTATTTCTGTTATCTCTTAATTGTGATAAGTCATTGCACAACCACACTTCCCTTCCGGTCTTCTGGCCCCAATGTTCAGTAGCCATTACTGTCGCAGCTGCGGCTGTGCGGTCACCAAAACGTCGAATTTTCTCTGCGTTGCCATGGATCACAGCCACCGGCTCGACAGGCACTTCATTCCTCATCATGCATTTCTAATCATCAAGACGCTCACTCACCATTGCGTAATCACATCACCCCACTACCAATTTACACCAAGAACACAAAGCTGTACAATAATTTAACTGTATTATAGTGAATATTGGTTATATTTTCAAGCGAATAAAGTTATAAACAGACAAGGATCTGTTTCCATACAAAATATAATTCCATTTGAGTGCATTAACTTATGAGCTTTCTGGCCCAATGTTTTTCCACAGCATTTGTTTTAAGCAGCAAACCATGGACTGGTCTTGATTTTGTCTAATCAGCTGAGCGAGGCCTTTTTTTAAAACAAGTTGTTGCCTTTCCTGAATGGGAAAGACTAAAGCGTCAGCACAGCAAAAATGCACAACAGTGTACGTGCTGTCATGTTGAATTGTGAGCCGTAGAATATGAAAGATAGGGGTTTGTTTTCGCCATGACAGCATGGTCCATCAGCCGAAATGCATATCAATTAATATTTTGCAGCACAAAGTTGTTGCAAACTAATCTACGACAACAATCCATTACACACGTTGTACAATGCTGCTGTACTGTGCTGCTGAGCCGCATGGGGTTTGTGGAGACTTCCTCCCTATCAGATTATCAAGGCAACCCAGTGCCACAACTCACAGCAAACTCTATTAAATCGCGGATCAAGCCAAAACCTGTCCAGTTTGCCCGATTAAACAAATATTGCTTGAAATCAGTGGTCCACAAGCTGATAGGCTGATGGACCTAAATGTTATTTATTTACAGGGTAAAACAGACCAATGTATATTATATTATTCCTTATAATCCATCATGATAGTGCATAATGAACATTGTTTTACATCACCCTTAAATGTGAATACAGGTAGAAAAAGTGCATTGCCTTTACAAACACAAAGTTTATATTATTTTGCAAGTCACCAACTCCAACCCATATTCATACTTTCTTGCTGCTGCCACTCCCACCTGATTAAGAACTGTGTATGCCAAAACTGTGTGCCAAGTTATTTGAAAGCAGAACGAATCATTAATAAACAGTTGTGGAATGTCAGTAAGCTCTTTTTATCATGTTTTAAATGTATCATGTTTTCAATGCATCATATGTTGTAAGGCCCAATGGGGCTAAACAGCTTATTTTCAAGGACGACATGCCTATAAAGGTTGCAAATGTCTCTTACCAGCTTAGAATTGTTTAGGGAAACGGTCGATTGCATTGAGCCAGCAACTGCAGTGCCCTATGCATGGGAAGTAAAGATTTCCTTCACTTCGTGCGGCGTTCCAATACAGTACACACTACACAATGTGGGCCCACGCCCGACCGCAAAGGAGTGAATTCAAACCGCATATTGCAAATTTTGGGTAGAAATATGTTATAGCCGCATATACAGCACAAAATTGCACAAACTGAATCCGCACACGATGAGGGAAACCTGTATATGGGCTGGCTGTGCGTGGTCTGTTTACTCATCTGCAAGAAACATCGCCAACCAACATTACACAAGTGTTGTCATTTATGTGGCTCATGTGTTCTGGATGTGAAAAATTACAAATATCCACATTTCCCCCCCCCCCCGTCCCCAAGCAGAGGTAATGATATAATTGAGATCTTGTAACTGCACTTAACGATGATTTACTCTGCTCAGTACTTGGTATGAAAGTAACACAAGGACTAACGGAAATGATATAAGTGAAGAAAAGGGATTTATTTTCAAATTGCAGTCACAGATTTCTTATGTACCACAAAATGTAAATCTTAAATATCGTTGTGCGTCTAAGTTTATGTTTGGAAAGCATTCCCTGCTTAATTTTTCCATTGGTTTTAGTCGTGCAGGATTTATTTCCAGATTTTTGTATGAATTCAAATAATTGATGACATTCATTTAAACAAACTGGCTCTCACATTTTATTAAAACAATATCTTGGCAAAATCTGCATTTGTACTCACTTAAATAATAATAATAAAGTATTTAATCCAAGAGTGACCACGGATGAGTCATTTTGCATGTTACCTGCAAAACGTTAGGTCGTTTTAAAAGGGTTTAGATTTGCACTTTCCTTCAGTGTGTTTTACCATTAATGCACAACGCATTGTGGTGCAAGCCAGAAAATAATTTGCGAGCTTAGAAAAAACTACTGGCGTAATATGTACATATAAATAAAATAACAGTTCAAATAAAAATAACCTGTTGTTATTTCTATTTAATCTGTTATGTATATACACATATACTAATGGTTATCTGAGGACAGCCTCACGAGGAAATTTCTAATAACTAGAAACATAATAAACATAACAAATTACCATTAAATTTGGATGTGTGTTTGGAAAATGTAATTAGTATTATGAGATAACCTGTTCTATGGGCAGTTGTAGCATAAAAACACGCAGCAACACGATATCGTGAGAAACGTATCTTGATGCGATGTTTTTTCTCAAACTATAAATTCGCCAAGATTTTATTCCAATTTCTGACAAGGGATTCAAAGTTATAAATTGGATCAATAAAATCGAGCTTTTTTTCAATATAAAACAATGTTACTAAATATTGATGTCTCGTGTTTTGGGCAATGGGGCAGAGTGGAACAAAAAAACTGCAGCCACTGCTGTGGTTGTGTGAAGAGAGGGAAGGATCAGAGGGTGCAGGTGACAGTTGTCATCTATCTCCTCTTAACCGGCCCTGGCTTACTGACTTTCGTAGTGCCGCTGCTCTTAACGGCTTTCTTCGTGGTGAAGATGCGCGTCATGAGCTCGGACACGTCGGGAAGATCTTTGTTTGGTGTCAGCATGTTCATAGACTGCTCCATTTCCTGTAAAGTAAAAAAAATTACAATGATGAGAATTGTATAATTAAAAGTTAATTTAATTCGGTCGTTCATAAAATAATGTAAAAAAAGTTCAAATAGTTATATGTAACCATTTGATAAAAAAGAAAATTACATTTGAGTCAGAGATTTGAAGATTGAAAAAAATATATTACTGTCAATTTAACAAATACCTTTTGCATGTGAAACTGTATAAAACCTCACTTATCTCAGTTGTAGAGCATTATGGATAATATATTATGATAAATTACATTATTTTCCATATTGCATGAAGACAATGGAGGGGGGGAGGAATGGGGCAAACACAATTTCAACCGAGACGACGGTTTTAAACTCAGCAATCATTGGAAAGATGTTATCAACCACTTTGTGTCATGACTTGAATTTGTGTTTCCTTGTCAACCTCTACCGTCAGCAGTGTGGATGGGCGTAGCGAGGTGCAATTCCCCCCCCTCCCATCTCTACCCCTCCCCCCCCATCTCTGCTCCACCCCTTCTCTCTCTCCGTCTCTGCCCCATCCTTCCCCCCCCCCCTTTTCTGATGGGTGTACCGAGGTACAATTCCTCCCTCCTCCCATCTCTATCCCTCTCTCCTCCCCCCTATCTCTGCCCCACCCCCTCTCTCTCCCACTGTCTCTCGCGCAGCTCTTTCCCCCACCCACTCACTCTGGAGCACTTGAATTTGTGCAACCCCATTCCTTCCCCCCCCCATTGTCTGATGGGTGGACCGAGGTGCAATTCCCTCCTCCTACCATTTCTACCCCCCTCTCTCTCCCCCTGTCAATTCCCCCCCTCCCATCTCTACCCCCCCTCTCCCCCAGTCTCTTGCGCAGCCCTTTCCCCCGCCCACTCACTCTGGAGCCCTTATAAACAGCTACATTTGGAGGCTTGCCCCCTCTTTTCTCTCCACCTGCGATCGAAACCTCGTGGGTTTTTAACTTTTAATTAATATTTTTGTTTTCTATCTTTACCAAAAGATCCAAGAATATCCATTAAACTATGCTTACCTTTCGCATTTCTGGGTCATTGGTGTTCATTACTTTGGGCAAGAGGAAGACAATGAGCAAGGGCAGGGCCATCATGAGCACCTGTGAAACACAAAAGAGCAAGTCAGTTCAAACGTAGCTTTCACAACAAGTGGTGCCAATCCTCTTGTATAAATATTGTTCTACAGTGATTGTATAGTCACTGCAATTGTATTGGTTATTGCTACAAATGTTACAAATAACTCATGAATTTACAGCCCAGCAAAAGTGTGCAACTGCGCTTATCTCCATCAGTATCGTCGCTGCATTCTTCTTAATGAGTATATCTGTAGAGATTAGAAGCTGCTTGTGTGACGAGCATGTATGTGATTTTGTCCCAAGTAAACTAAATTAACACGTGCACGCTCAGACATCTGTAGGGGAATCAAACCATGGGGTTGAAGAGGAAGTCGGTCCATTTCCACGTCTCGCGTTTCATGAAGTAGTTGGGCGTTCCGAAGGCTCGCATCCGCAGCGGGTAAGGCATTGGCACCACCTCGGAGCTCTTGATGTAGTTCAGTTTACGGGCCCTGCAAATGTGCAATGTGCATCTCTGATTTTTATATTTATAATACAAAACAGTATTTACCAGTTCATGCAATATCAATATGTATGTTGAATGTCTTTCGCACTGTACGTGGCCAACTGTGCTCAACAAAGGTAAAGGAAATTGTGATTCCTTACTTGTAAATTATTTAGGTAATATATGTTAATTAAGACATGGGTTTGAGAGCTTGGATGACTATACACATAACAATAGGAGTTAAACAAGGAGATATTATTTAGGTGTAAGGATTTGGATACTTATACTACCTGCTATTACATGGATCAGACATATCGGACACTGACCAAAAAAAATAAGTGAGAAACAAATGGATCAGAGAACAAACATAAATCAGAGACATCGTGTTGGCTGTTAAAAAAGCTGGCCTGTGTGTTTGGGTCCTGGCATGTGAACTATAAAATGTAGCTTTTTAATATTTGAGGTTTGTGTATAGGTTAAAAGCTATTATTTGAGTATGGAGATAACATAAGAAATACATAAGTTACCTCCCTTTCAGAGAAACTAAATGTAAACATATGCATAAAAAATTTAATACGCAAAACTAAAACAAAGTACGGTGAAATAATTAGGGATGCACCGCATCTTCCGACATTTCTATCATGTGGCCGAATAAAAATTTCCAAATGCAGCTGTACTTAGAAGAGAGTACGGCAGTATAGGGAAGGGAGAGGCAATGTAGCTGGGACTGGGGCAGGCGTACATACATAGTGGCAGCTTGCAGTACAGGTAAGAAGCAGGAACTCGGTGTGTGTGCGTTTCCGTCTCTGCACGTGTATGCTTGTGTACATATGCAGCTATGCATGTGTTTATTACAGTTGGGAGATAGGATGTCATATTCTTACATAAGCATGGCAATATCCTTCATAATTTGATAAAATACGTTTTTTACAGTCGTGCAAAATAGACACGAATTACGTTTCAGATTGTAAGAATTTACTTGACTTAGCATAAGTGGCAAGATACAATTTAACGAGCATTCATTTATATTGTAGTAATTGCTACAAAGTTAACAATATATGTACTGTCTTTATTCTTCAGCTTTATCCTCTAAATATAATGCAATGGAATGACTATGTAAAGAGTAGAAATGCTTTGTGCACTGACTGCACATGAAATCAAATTGCATGATCAATGTTCTAATCATTTATGCCTCACACATATAGATCTGTTGTATGCCATTAGAACTGAACCCGAAGCAATATGTACTGTATATCATTATGGCAGAGCCTGGTGGTCTTTCTCGCTCTATTGATGAGAAATAAATTAATTTTAAGATGTTAATCTGTCATAGATCTGGTATATATGGTGGGTGTGATCTCTCTCCTGCTTCAGATCTGTCTAATGCACAACTTGTTACGCTGTACCTCAACTCCAACTCCGTATGTTTACAGGGGGTCCCCGCTATATACGTCGGAGTTAGGGACTGGAAAGTTGGGAATTCTAAGGCAAAATCTTTATAAATGTATTTATTTTTGCCGACTCCGTCCCACCGCGCACATAAACGCCGTGACGCACCTGGCGCGGATCATTCTGTTGTCATGTCGTCAAAACGCAGCGAGGACGAATGTGCAGAAGAGCTGAACAAGCGAATGCTCTCCATGCTCGGGTACGGGCAGGATCATAAGTCTTATCCAAAGCTGCTCAAAGTGCCTACACGACTTCAGTCCTTTATTTGTCAACGGTATGCATAATACAGTGAAACTGCTCTCTTATCTTCATTTTTATTTGTGACCTACCAATGTCTGCAGCCAGGATCAATCGATGACAAACCTATTACCTGCAGATATTTAACGGATGAGATGCATTGCATCGTTAATTCCACCTGTTTGATATTTCTCTTCTCCGTATGCATCTGTGCAGATACTTTTTTATTGCGATTAAGCCATAGTCCTCACATACCGCTCGTATCAATGCGGATAAGAGGAGCGGCGACCCACTACTCTGTAGAGTAACATTGGTATAAACGCTTGTTACAATATGAACAGCGCATTGAAAACGCGTACTATTTTATGTACTGTTTACAAAGTGTGTTCACAAATCCACAATAAGAAACACAATGATTGACAGAGGGGTGTAAATTATTTTTTCGATATTGTATTAAAATAGAAATACTGCAGTTAAGTAGTGTTCAGTTTTAAAGGCAAATCGGGGCAATAGCTAACAACCAAAATATACGTATTTTACATGTACAGAAAAGCATGTACTGTACATGTACTGTACCTGTACTATATTTTACAACACAATGTACACATTGATAACCAATTGTGAGTTCAAGAACATTTAAACAGCAATAATACTTATACTGATAACAGCAATTATACTTATCAAATACAATCTTAAGCAGTATTTTCTAAATAATTTAGCTTAACCAATCATTTTTATGATCTTACCTTGAGGAGTGGATGAGTTGTGGGCAGATATAACACTTCTTTGCCGTGTAATTTTAATCTCCGAATGCTTTAAAGGGTGATTAGCTTTACTTTCAATTTAATCAGCATTCTTATTCTATCGTACGTACACTCGTTGAAGGAAGATTCAAATGGCACCCGATATCAACCACACGTTCACCTTTCCTACGACGCTTTGTCACTTCCGTTTGAACATCGAGCGTAATACAGCGGTTTTTCTTTTGCTCACCACCTGCACTATGCTTTCTACTCATTGTTGAAGTTTTGCGATTTTAAAAGACTATTGGTGGTATCTGAGACATTGTTGTGGGGCATCGTTATGCCCCTCCAAATCCATACGACTAAAAGTTACATGTGCGGCTACAAAAAATAGAATGCAACAAATGTACAGCACTTTGATTTGAAAATATTGATGTAGTTACCTTATTTTCCCCTTCGTGGTGATGTCAACTCGAACAGGATCAAACTTGAAAGAGGGGGATGCCACCTCCACAACATAGGAGCCGGAGGGGACGTTATGCACGGTGAAGCTTCCATCCGTTCTGCAAAACCAGTCAACACCACGTCATTTGAGCGGAGGTTGCCATGTGGCTCAGAGGTCAGAGCATTGAGCTGGCACTGGAGTTTCAGGGTTTGAATCCATCCCTGCCATATGTGGTTAAACCGGATTCTCAAGTGTACATTGATGATCTCAATCCTGCCATCAATAATTGTAATGCGTAGACAGTATAGCAAAATAGGGCAGGGGAGACGAAATGGAGCTTGGAAGAGAACAGTGGCGGCAGCTTGGAGACCAAGCAAAAAGCAAACTTGCACAAAAAAATGTAAAATGTGGCTCTACAGTTAACTTGGCAAAGCTACAGGTCTAATAATAAAAATAATGGTTTGACTATAATGCAACCAACAATTTTTGGAAAGTGGGTGAGAAAGTCCTCCCCATTACTGTGTAGACCAGGGGTCACTTGAACCGATCTCAGAGGTAGCTCTGTGATGTGTACTTCTGTGGGCCACTCCACTACAACGGGTTACAATGCTCTATAAGAGTTATGAACGTATTCTTCATCTCATGACGAACGTCATTTGAGCATCTTTGATGCATGCAAACCGTCTCATGGACTTGCCACACGACACATTACCAGGCAAACACAGGAAATGTATCACACACGCTCAAACATCATCCCCTAGTGTGCTGCAGTGTTCTAAGATGATTAACAAAAGCATAAATATTCCTGCTATGAGGAAGGGCTATTGCTCCAAACGTCACTTATGTTTCCCCTCTTTTAGGCCAGTGTTATTGACAAATGTGTTGTGTTTTTGTGATATGTGCTTATTCACCTCGGCCAATGTAGTGTAACAAATTGTTTTTATCTAAAGCATTTAGTCTGGATGTCTGCGCTGGGAAAAGGTTAAACATTACATTTACTACCATTTTCCCCTCCAACATTCAGTCTGCTCACGGTTGAAGTAAAATAAAGGACACACCCACATCCATGCAAACACAAACATCACTCGTCTCGCTTAAAGGAGCAAATACAGGAATTATAATTGCATAGCTATACTGATGTAGGGTGTACAGTGATAGTATAGAATTATGTTGAAAGAGTTACATTATCGTAATATTGTAGATTTTTTTCTCCCCCAATTTTAACCCGATTGTGGTACCCAGCTGTGTCATGAGAGCAAGCATCCATTCGGATCTCTCAGACCAATGTGAGCGAATGTCCCCAGGAAGCGGGTATCAGGTCCCTACTTGCCTGGTCGACACAATAGAGGGCAGCACGTTCACGCCATGTCGTCACGTGACAGTCATTCGAATTTAGCCCAATAAATCGACGAACCGAATGTTGCGGTTTTTTGTTGTTCATTGTTGACCGTGTCGAAGTCATAAAAACCTTTTACTTGAGAACCAGGTTTATCTCAGACGGCTTGGCTGGCTTTGAACCCTGAATCTCTGTGGTGACAGTCAGTTCAAGGCTGTCTGTAATCTCTGAACCCAACGCCCACCTCCTGCTGCAGACGATTGCGCGGCTACCTTGACAGCAGAGGGCGCGGTGCGAAAAAATCCCATCGTTGTTACCGTCTTCTACTCTGCCCCATTGTTTATACTCGCCGCCTTCACGAGCCAGCAGCGAGCAGCGAGGGTGAAGTATGGTCAAACAACTCCCAAGACTCGCTAGGCCCTCTTCCAGCAACGGACAAGACGATACGGCTGTACGTGGACGTACTGCTGCAGCGTGCGTAATGGTGTACATAGTACCCAGTTTACACTGCAATTATTGTGTACAATCAGTTGTGTACTTGTACGGTTGGGGTGGTGACGTTAATGTGTTTGGTTATACTGTCGTAGTGCGTAATGAATTTACATAGGTACTAGTAATGAACGTGTAGTTTTATTGTTGTAGTGTTGTGGCTGAGTGTATACCGGTACTTCTGTAGGGAGGAGTGGTGGTGCAGTGGTTTGCGCACTGCGCGACGAAGGTCGATTCCCGCTCACGGCCAACATCAGCGACGATTATCTGAATCGGTCCTTGACCTCCCCTAGGTCGACTCAGCCTCAAGCAAGTACAGCACCTAGTGCGATGTATAAACATTGCTACTGGGGAGACAAAGGCGGCTGGGAGTGTTGCTGGCCACCCACCCCCTCGTGTGCCGTGCCGGCCTTCATCGGAGCTCGCTGACAGCACTTGCCCCAGAAGTCTCTGAAGGCTACAGGCGGGGGATCTTTGCCTATGTAGTGGACGTGTAGTTATATTGCTGTGGTGTTGTAGTCGAGTGCATACTTGCACTGCCGTAGCACGGACGAGCATATGAAACGCATCAGATGTGTATCTCTACCGTCGTCACGGCTCTGGGAGGCTTCATCGAGCAGTGGAGTGAGCGCGGATGGACGCGCCGAGGCCTGGGTCTCACCTGAGCAGCCCCGTGTACTCGCCGCCCTCCACCAGCACCCGGGCGCCAGAGATCCACTCCTGCATCTTGAACCCGGGCACGGAGACGCGGCCCTCGATCTTGAATCGCTCCCCGTTGGCGTCCTCCGCCTCGAGGTAGGAGAAGGACGAGGAGGAGACGGGGGAGGAGGTGGAGGCGGCGGCGCCGCCCGCGAGCAGCACCACCAGCAGCGTCGACACCAGCACCGCCATGTTGCTTTGCCGGTCGGTCACGTGGGGGCGGGGGGCTCCTCCCACTCGTCACGTGGTTCCGCTCGTAGCGGTGCTCTCATGGGTGGGGGGGGCTCAGTGGGAGGGGGCAGTTGGAGAGGGCGGGGCTCTGTGGGAAGGGGCGGGGCTCTGTGGGAATGGGCGGGGCATTGCTGTAGAGGGCGGGGCTATGTAGGAGGGGGCGGGGCTTTGTGGGAAGGGGCGGGGCTATGTAGGAGGGGGCGGGGCTACGTAGGAGGGGGCGGGGCTCTGTGGGAGGGGGCGGGGCTCTGTGGGAGGGGGCGGGGCCGCCAGGGTGGCGCAGTTAGAATCGGAGGAATCCGATGAGCTACAAAGCGTTTTCTTGGTTCTTTCGGTAAAGTCACGTAGAAGGGAAGTAATAAAATAATAAAAATAAAACATAATAAAACAATTCTCACGACGTTTCGGCCACAACGCAAGCAGCCGTCCTCAGGTGAAAACCAGGTCCGTCGAGGCGACAGAGTCTGAATGAAACAGCACACGAGCTTGGAGCATATATATAAGCTGGGCGCATTGACAAAGGCATTTGCATATCAAAAGGAATTTAGCATATTTATGGCAAATGCAGGAATGTGATTAGTACTGCATATGCATGTGCATTATGCAGGATTAACAGCATCAAAGGGAGCTGCAGGATTAACAGCATCAAAGGGATGCTGTTAATGCACATGCATATGCAGTACTAATCACATTCCTGCATTTCCCATAAATATGCTAAATTCCTTTTGATATGCAAATTCCTTTGTCAATGCGCCCAGCTTATATATATGCTCCAAGCTCGTGTGCTGTTTCATTCAGACTCTGTCGCCTCGACGGACCTGGTTTTCACCTGAGGACGGCTGCTTGCGTTGTGGCCGAAACGTCGTGAGAATTGTTTTATTATGTTTTATTTTTATTATTTTATTACTTCCCTTCTACGTGACTTTACCGAAAGAACCAAGAAGATGAATCCCTGCAGTCACGAAAGCTTTAAATCGAAATCTACAAAGCGTTCTTTCACTGATGTCCAGTAGGGGCGAGTCAAAACGTAACAACAAAACAAACAATACCAAAACACAACAGGAGTGCGAAGTATAGGACAGGTAAGCAAATCACTTTAACGAAACGTACAAATAAATATAAAAAATCTAATTTTATGTTACGAGGTACCAAGTTGACTCTCTACACGCGGCTAGGCGATGGCAATGATCACTATGTGGCTAATAACATTCTGGCAAATGTATCCCTCTCCGCTGGCGAGATGTTAACTCCCTCGCCCGGCACACAAGGGGCCCCGTGGGTGCCATCCCGACTCACGCCGGCTGCTGGACACTTGGAGTTTGCGTGGGCTCACAGTGGCCGCGTGGATTCTATTATTACACACTCTTAGGGTTTTTCGGTAAAGTCTAAGAGTATGAATCCTTGCAGTCACGAAAGCTTCAAATCTAGAATTTATCATTACACGCTTTTATTTAACTCACTCTGTCTGTTGTTGTTGTATCCTCAAGTCTTGTAACTCAATTTTAACCCACTTCACAATGTGGTATCGACTGCAAACTTGGTATACTTATGTCATACTGATGACAATACTATATTCTATCATTAAAAATGAAAATTTCATTATATTTTTACACGCTTTCTATTATTTTTTTCCGGGTCCTCCGGTTTTCCCCTCCACACTTACAAGCACGCGTCTACACAGAGGATGTGGCTGCTGCTGAGATATAAGTTGTGTTAGACAGACAGGTCGCTTCTGAAAAGAGATAAACCAGCAGCTCAGTGGGCCTTACCCAGGTTCAATAAAAAATAGTTTAAAATGTTTTATTATTATTATTGGCTCTTTCGGTAAAGTCACGTAGAAGGGAAATAATTCAAATAATAATTTAAACCAATAAATGTATTATTATTTTATTATTTCCCTTCTACGTGACTTTACCGAAAGAACCAATAATACGAATCCCTGCAGTCACGAAAGCTTTAACTAAAAATGTTGTATTGTTTTGTTTATCGGGTGGGGAGGAGATTATCGCTGTGGGCACGCTGTGGTTCAACGCAGGAGGAGGCGTGGGATGGCCAAACAGGGGGCAGTGCTTCTCGCACCGCATCGCTGAAGTCACCACTGCAGCTAAGAATCGATATATTTTGTGAGCGAGTTTGTTACTGTCTTGTTCAGTCTCGTTAATCCCGGGAGCCCAAACGTGACATTTCCCATCGTACACACACACACGTGTATCCAAGTACGGTGTTTAATAAGATATGATGTCTTTCTTGGGCGCTTATTTTCGATGCATGGATCGACACAAGCGAATCAATGGAATGGATTCGCTGGAATGTGAGGAGCGTCACAAAGTTGCTCAACGTGAACCGGACGGAACTCGGGGGAGAGTCGCGGTGCAGAGCTCACGAACAGCGGTCAGTGCGGTGTTGCGTGTGTGGTGTTGTGAGTGTGGTGTTGTGAGTGTGGTGTTGCGTGTGCGGTGTTGCGTGTGCGGTGTTGCGAGTGCGGTGTTGTGAGCCCATTGTAGCGTGTGAAGGGTGGTTGTGCTCAATGCAGAGGGTGAGCAGTCACTGTCGTGTGTATTGTAGGCAGGGTGTTGCTATTGAGTGTAGGTAGGTGTTGCTAGTGTGTGTAGGTAGGGTGTTGCTAGTGTGTGCAGGTAGGGTGTTGATAGTGTGTGTAGGTAGGGTGTTGATGGTGTGTGTAGGTAGGGTGTTGCTAGTGAGTGTAGGTAGGTGTTGCTAGTGTGTGCAGGTAGGGTGTTGATAGTGTGTGTAGGTAGGGTGTTGCTAGTGTGTGCAGGTAGGGTGTTGATAGTGTGTGTAGGTAGGGTGTTGATGGTGTGTGTAGGTAGGGTGTTGCTAGTGAGTGTAGGTAGGTGTTGCTAGTGTGTGCAGGTAGGGTGTTGATAGTGTGTGTAGGTAGGGTGTTGCTAGTGTGTGCAGGTAGGGTGTTGATAGTGTGTGTAGGTAGGGTGTTGATGGTGTGTGTAGGTAGGGTGTTGCTAGTGAGTGTAGGTAGGTGTTGCTAGTGTGTGCAGGTAGGGTGTTGATAGTGTGTGTAGGTAGGGTGTTGCTAGTGTGTGTAGGTAGGGTGTTGATAGTGTGTGTAGGTAGGGTGTTGAAAGTGTGTGTAGGTAGGGTGTTGCTAGTGAGTGTAGGTAGGTGTTGATAGTGTGGGCAGGTAAGGTGTTGCTAGTGTGTGTAGGTAGGGTGTTGATAATGTGTGTGTAGGTAGGGTGTTGATAGTGTGTGTAGGTAGGGTGTTGATAGTGTGTGTAGGTAGGGTGTTGATAGTGTGGGCAGGTAGGGTGTTGCTAGTGTGTGTAGGTAGGGTGTTGATAGTGTGTGTAGGTAGGGTGTTGATAGTGTGTGCAGGTAGGGTGTTGATAGTGTGTGTAGGTAGGGTGTTGATAGTGTGTGCAGGTAGGGTGTTGATAGTGTGGGCAGGTAGGGCGTTGCTAGTGTGTGTAGGTAAGGTGTTGATAGTGTGTGTAGGTAGGGCGTTGATAGTGTGGGCAGGTAGGGTGTTGATAGTGTGGGCAGGTAGGGCGTTGCTAGTGTGTGTAGGTAGGGTGTTGATAGTGTGTGTAGGTAGGGTATTGATAGTGTGTGCAGGTAGGGTGTTGCTAGTGTGTGCAGGTAGGGTGTTGATAGTGTGTGTAGGTAGGGTGTTGATGGTGTGTGTAGGTAGGGTGTTGCTAGTGAGTGTAGGTAGGTGTTGCTAGTGTGTGCAGGTAGGGTGTTGATAGTGTGTGTAGGTAGGGTGTTGCTAGTGTGTGTAGGTAGGGTGTTGATAGTGTGTGTAGGTAGGGTGTTGAAAGTGTGTGTAGGTAGGGTGTTGCTAGTGAGTGTAGGTAGGTGTTGATAGTGTGGGCAGGTAAGGTGTTGCTAGTGTGTGTAGGTAGGGTGTTGATAATGTGTGTGTAGGTAGGGTGTTGATAGTGTGTGTAGGTAGGGTGTTGATAGTGTGTGTAGGTAGGGTGTTGATAGTGTGTGTAGGTAGGGTGTTGATAGTGTGGGCAGGTAGGGTGTTGCTAGTGTGTGTAGGTAGGGTGTTGATAGTGTGTGTAGGTAGGGTGTTGATAGTGTGTGCAGGTAGGGTGTTGATAGTGTGTGTAGGTAGGGTGTTGATAGTGTGTGCAGGTAGGGTGTTGATAGTGTGGGCAGGTAGGGCGTTGCTAGTGTGTGTAGGTAAGGTGTTGATAGTGTGTGTAGGTAGGGCGTTGATAGTGTGGGCAGGTAGGGTGTTGATAGTGTGGGCAGGTAGGGCGTTGCTAGTGTGTGTAGGTAGGGTGTTGATAGTGTGTGTAGGTAGGGTATTGATAGTGTGTCTAGGTATGGTGTTGCTAGTGTGTGTAGGTAGGGTGTTGATAGTGTGTGCAGGTAGGGTGTTGCTAGTGTGTGCAGGTAGGGTGTTGATAGTGTGTGTAGGTAGGGTGTTGCTAGTGTGTGTAGGTAGGGTGTTGATAGTGTGTGTAGGTAGGGTGTTGATAGTGTGTGCAGGTAGGGTGTTGCTAGTGTGTGCAGGTAGGGTGTTGCTAGTGTGTGTAGGTAGGGTGTTGCTAGTGTGTGTAGGTAGGGTGTTGATAGTGTGTGTAGGTAGGGTGTTGATAGTGTGTGCGCTCAGATAATTTTTTTGCTATAAATGTCCAAATGATAAGCCACTTTGTTGAGTTATTATTTGTGAACAGGTCGCTTCTAAAAAATAAGTGAATACCTCAGAGGGCTTCGCCTGGTGGAATCGAGGATATTTAGTTTCATTTGTATGTTTTTGGATAATTTATTTACCTTTCTGTTACTCTTACCTCCTTTAATGTTAGTTTAACCTATCGGCTTTCGCAACCAATATCATCCATAATACAGGTTTTTTGGGTTAGATCGTGTAAATATATAAATGTGTCGGTAAACCCGCCACCACCCGACACCATCCAACACAGCCAAATTGTAAGGTTTGTCACGTAAACAGAACGTGCCAATTCGTTACGAGCACAGCACACCGGTGTGTTGGAGAGCAAAGCCACAACATTTATAATCTGAGTACAACGTTTCGCCAGTAATTACAACTAGCTTCATCAGACGACAGGCAAATTTGGCTGTCGCGACTTGAAAGACAAAGGCGGCCGAGTGTGGTTCCAGTCACCCACCCCCTCGTGTGACGTTCCAGCCTTAATAGGTGATCGCTAACAGCACTTTCCCCAAGAGTCTGGTTCAGACTTTATGAAGGACCTTTGTACAACATACCCCTGAATACAATGTTTTTGTAATGAGAGAGCGCAATCTAGTGGGCGCCAGGGGGTAACTGTACGGACACTATCGGGTAATCGATATCCAATCCTGATTGGGGATGACATCTGGGCCAAAGGTGACGGGCAGAGCCGGAGGGGATGTTCGGGAACCATCGGGAAGGTTCCACAAGGGAGCGTGGCTAGAGGCGGAGCTTAGCTCCGCTGGGAGGAATATAAGCAGAGGCAGGGGAGGACTCGAGGTCGGTGTGGGAAGCCTCGGGTCCGGACCGCGTCGCTGCTCATCCTCTCCTCGCCATCGGCCACGTGGCGGATCCCCAGCGGAGCTCGCCTCTTCTCCCCGGCACACCGCCAGCCAGCGGCGGGATCATCGAGGGAGAGTGGCGATCCTCGACGGTGGAACGGAGAAAACACCTCGTCCATGGCGGTTGATAAAAGGAAATTAACCCGGAGAGGGAAGAAGTGGAACTGTACAGTAATTCAGTTAATAAAGAAGCACTATTCAAGAGTCGTCGTGGAAGTCTTTTATTACATTGGAGTCAGAAGTGGTCCTTGAAGAGACAAGAATATTCTACTAGTGTGAAAAATGTCTAAGCATCTCAAGAAGAAGAACCCACCTGTTGCGTCTTCCGACGACGAGGATGCGGGGACCCAGGACCTGCTGACCCCGGGATCCGTGGTCCCGGTCACAGGAACCACGGCTGGTGAGGTCGCCGCACCGGAGGCGGGCGGCGCGGCTGCGGCATCTCCGCCACAGCGGGCTGAAGACGGCTGGAAGAGGGTGGAGGAGCAGCTAGATTCACTGCGGGTGGTGCTTCTCCAGCTGGTGTCGATCATCACATCGTCTTCGGTGGCAGGGCGCCCACCTGAAGTATTGCCGGGGCGTAACGAGCAGAGGTTTGGGGCCGGAGCCTCGGAGGGTTCCCCTGCGGAGACGACGTCCGCCGTTGCGGGCGCTGAAGAGACGTCCGTCATTACGCATGCTACGGAGACCACGCGGCGGGACGCCGCCATCTTGGACGGCGCATGAAAATTGGACCGAATTGCATCTAGAGCCACATGAAGGGGTCTGGTGTAGATTCTGGACTTTAGTTTGTGCATTTGAATTGGGCTTGGACTGGATACTGTGTTCCGTGAGAAACATGGCGTCTGCAGTGTTGACATTGTATGACATGGGAGACGGGGCTTTGCTGGCTCCTAGGTCAGATGGTAATAATCTACACGAGTTAATCATTAGCAAGCGTAGCCCATAGCTTTCATGAAAAATACAAGCAAAGCTTTATCATTGAGCATGCCAAACTTTTCTTGTATGTCAGGGGATATTTGACATACAAACATTTTAACAACACAATCAAATACGATATTTGATCTTTCGTATATAATAATCTGAAGTCAGTGTAATCACGCTGGGGTTGCCAAGTAATTGGACTAGGCTGGGAGAGCAACTGAAGTCTGCCCAGTTGTTGTGCCAGTACCACTGAAATTACACCACTGCAGAAATGCGCACATTACACCACTCCTGATAAACACGATTTGCTCATGAGCTTCTTTGTGTACAAGAAGCCCTCTTTTCAGTTCATTATGAAGCACACGAGGCTCGATCGGCCATATGTATATATGTATGTTGAACTTGTTTTGCACCATACCTAGCCAACTTCTAAAGAAATTAGTTTTCAACCTAGATTTAAAAGTGCATAGCTCCAGTGGCTTGCTAATATTGGAACGGAAGAGTGTTTCAGACGCCCACAGAAGCGCATCCGAAAGCGTGTGATGCAGTGACCATCTTTGTTCGATGGTTAGCCAAAAGCCGCTGTGAGAATGACCGGAGTTTGCGTGATGGTTTATACTCCCTGACGAGATCAGTAAAGTATTGTGATTATAGAGGAAGACTTTGATGGGTCAATTCCATCTTCTCATTGAGATTAATTTCATCTAACTCTCGAGCATAGTCAGCATTACCAAGTAAGAGCCCACTTACAATGATATTTAATGTACTTTAAGTGTTATATTTCATTCATGAAAACGATTTCTTCATGTTATTTCCAGTCAGTGGCAAGTTTCTCACCTCATCTCTGGCTGGAGTCCAGGAGAGTGGGGCACACATTTAGAATACGAAATAGAAGTGACAATTTACTTGAAACGTAAGTTGTCATAGCAATACAATGATCCATATTTGTTTTTGGGTAAGGCCACATGGTAGTTTTATACAAAAATTATTGTCATTAACCTTTCACCACCCAACAAGATTGTGACTTTTGTAGTGCCATCGGTGGATGTCACTGCATGTTGTGTGAAGCTGGCCTGTGTGAGGCACGACACACGCCGCTCACACCATCTACATCACTGCAGTGGGAATGCAGTACCGGCCCTAGCGGGGGCCGGCTGAGATTGCTGATCAAGGATGGATGGCACTGCACTCCATGTGCAGAGAGTGCCAGGGACGGTGCAGGGGTACACAGGGACCATGGCACTCCACGTGAACCCGGAGGCCTGGTGACCGGAGGTACCGGTCCGGGGCCCCCAAAGAGGGGACTGGGGGAACACGGGACCAGGACCAGGACCCTCTCGAAGGCTCGAGAAGGGGGGCGTGGCTAGGGGCGGGGTCAGCCCCGCCACGGGAAATATCAGCCGGAGCCCTGAACGGGTCCGGCTGGCTGTTGCAAGAATCAAGACCGAAGCCGTCTCCTGGAGAAGACCTGCCCGACTATAAGACCTGGACCCGAGCCGGGGTCCGGTCCGAGATAGCCACCCCGTGTGAGCTAGGGTTAGCTAGCCCAGAGGAGGTACCTCCCTAGGATAGCTGGTGAAGGGGCAGTTATACCCCTTCGTGGTTAGGGCTTTATTGTGAAATAAACGTGTTGCCTCTAAGAAGTCTCTGCCTCCCTGATTGGAACCACTACACTTTTACAATTATTTATATGTCCAAACGGACTGATGAAATTCAGTCGTGATAAAAAGCTCAAGCCAGAATTTCATCAATACGTTGGCATGTATGAAAAATATCTGACCAAAAACACTAATATAGATCAGAAGAGACTTATCTGCATATTTGTGCATATGGCTAGGTTCACTGTATCAAGAAGAACTCTGTCTCCTTGTTATCACAGTAAAATATCTAACAACAATTCAATCATTAGCTGAAAGTTAATATTTAGATTTTGTGAACCATTACCTGAATTTTCTGCAAATCCTTGCGTATTCATATAGATGTGTGGTGCCGGCCCTAGCGAGGCACGGCGTACATCGCAGACACCCCGTATATGTGGGTGTAGTACCTGGACCCAAACCGGGGTCCTGTCCGTTGTAGCTACTCCCAGTGTAATTGCTGTAGTTAGCCTGGTGGTCCACCACCATAGGTTGTTATCTGGTTAAGGGCAGTTACCCCTTTGTGTTGGTATCAATAAATGTGTTCCCTTCAAGGAGTACGTCTGCGACTCAGTTCAGGTTTCAAGTTTCATTTATTAGGTATAGCTCTTGAATCGGGTGCAACTGCAACAAACAAAAAGCAAAAACATGAACAAGAAAACATCTTAAAGTGACTATGTGACTATGTGCAATCAGAAAATCCAAGAAAAGACAGCAAAATATTGCAGAAAAAGCGCCATACACCAACGCTGTGTGCAAAAATCCCAGTGGGATGCAAGTCAAACAACAACAACCACAAGACAACTTAGATTAAGGCCATCAGTCTAACTCCGTACTACAACAAACAAACATGGCCAAACCAAAAAACTTTCGAAATCACCTAAAGAAAGCCATAAAAGTAATGAACCAGTGATCATAGGGACTGTGACCGAATTTTCACAATAAACGACATAAACAACATGTACCACCAAATCTTGCAGCCAGTTGAACTCAAAGCTTGAGGTTTCTAGACCCTGTGGATACAGGCTGCGTGGATAAGAGGGTCACCCAGCAGGCTTCAGGGAAGGCTGGTGGAAGCCTGGTGCATGCATGACCATGCTCATCTCACAAAAATGCCGCCAAGGAGATTCCTCCTCACAATCTCCTCGTTGTCATCCACGCCTGGGAGATGAAGAAGAAGTCTTGCCTCCCCTTCACGCCCAATCCGTGACCTCCACAATGACGCACAGTTCATGGCACGGATGGCCATGTAAATCTCGTAGGGAATCGGAAATTCTGGAAGTTGCGTAGGCCACGATTTATCGCATTTCCGATTCCATACGAGCTTTACGTAAAGAGGGGAACGTACATTTACGTGAGATGCTACGCGTGGTCAGGAGTAGACTTAATTCCGCCATTACTCACATTTACATACATCCGTGATCTCTCACCTACCCCAACAGCCTTAACAGACTGTTGGGGTAGGTGATGTTAGCGAATACCTAATGAAGGTTGGCACAGCACACGAGGGCATGGCAATGTTTGCACACTTATTTATTTGAGGCTGAGTCGACCTACTGGAGGCCCAGGACCGGTTCAGATAATCGTCACTGATGTTGACCATGAGTGGGAATCGCCCCGGGTCGCCGGGTTTGTAGAGCAGCGTGCTAACCGCTGCACTACCTCTCCCCACAACCACATACATGTAGACACGTACAACACGCGTGTCGATACAACTGTGACTGTTGAAATCCCCCATGATTTGATCTTTGGGTCACATTGGAAATTCTTCTAAAAATGTGTCCACCGTACTCCCCTCCGCACCCTCAGTGGGTTATAGGTTGATGTAAACCGATTCCGATGGTGAGGAATTCAGACTGGTAATGACTATAGCTCGTTGTAGTAAAACAATCTCACTTCATAAATGAGAGCCTGGTAAGCCCCAACTTGTTGTGAGCAATATAAAACAAATTCTCAGCCACTCCCTGTATGATGAAGACGATAAAGTATGAACATTTTCACAAGAAGATGCTTTTACCTTCATGATATCTACAACAATCCACAGAATTGCAGGTTATTTGTTCTTTTAAAATATACGAATTCTTAGTAACTTGGCAAATAATGTAATCATCACATATTTTAACAACCACCACAGATGACAAGTATGCCTTTTGTTTTGTTATTACATATGAGACATCTGCAGTTAAATGCCGATGAGTGACAATTGCCTCGTTTTGTTTTGCAGTCTCTTGGTACCATGAGCATCATGCTTCTGGGCTTGCTCTTGCTGCTGATGGGCCCCATCGGCAATGCAGACCCACACCCTCGCAGGCCCAATTTTGTGTTGATGATGGCCGACGATCTGGGAATAGGGGACGTTGGCTGTTATGGAAATCACACCATTAAGTAAGAGATTTTCACACCACCAAATGCTACTTTAAAATGAAATGAACTAAGTTGTCTTAAAATGTTCATATCAGACGCATGAGAATTGATTTCAGGAATTTTCACTTTACGCCAATAACACGACAAATCACTTCAGTCGATTATTAACAAGTATTTCACCGATGTAAATGCCCGTATTTAATGATTCGCTATTTTTCTGGTTCTTTCCTAGATGCGTTTAAAAATGTACCCATGCATGTTCTCTCTAATTGTTGGGAGTGAGATATGTTTGAGGGTTACCTTTCCCCATATGCTTTTTGACAGGACCCCTAATATTGACCGACTCGCCCAAGAAGGAGTCAAGCTGACTCAGCACATTGCCGCTGCTTCACTGTGCACCCCAAGCCGGGCGGCGTTTCTCACTGGGCGTTACCCTGTCCGCTCTGGTAAGCATTACCAGGTGTTAACTACCAGCAGGTGCTGCAGTGGTGACATGTTAACTACCTCGTCCTGGTATACAGAAGGTCGTGGGTTCAATCCCGACCCTGACACCTGCTGTATATTTAGAGTTCATATGTTCTCACTGTGGTCGCGTTGATTTTTGTCCGGGTTCTCTGGTTTAAATCAACAGGGCAATGTGCACATCTTCACAAATGGACAACTAAAAACAAACCACAGCGAGACTGGCCATGCAACCCAATTTATGGACCAAAAAGTAAACCACTGTACTCTTTAGTTCTTTCGGTAAAGTCACGTAGAATGAAAATAGATTAAATAATAGAATACGACATGTGTGTCTATGTAGACACGTGTGTCTATGTTGTGTGTGTCTCTCTGTCTGTCTGTGTGTTGTCTCTCTCTGCTTGTGTGTCTGTGTGTGTCTCCGTGTTTGTGTTTTGTCTCTCTCTCAAAATTAGTTCTACCTGATGACGGTTGCTTGTGTTGCAATCGAAACGTCGTATTCTATTATTTATTTAATTTATTTCTACGTGACTTTACCGAAAGAACCAAAGAGTAATTCCTGCAGTCACGAAAGCTTCGAATCGAGTTTAAACCACTGTAGTCTCCGCTCCTTCAACGGAGGAGAATTAGCAAAACTACATAAACTCTCTCTTTTAACCCTCTCATGGCTAGCAGACCTCGACATTGGCATCTATCTCCTTGGGTATATTGCCATCGGCAAAAAAGAAAAGTATTACAGCTTCTCATGAGTACAAATAATCAAAGGAGTTAAAGGTGCAGCAACCTTGTAATTGATGTATCATACTTCTGCTGCCAGAAAGAGCCTGCACAAGAGGGAGCTCTGGAGAGACCTACGTGAGGATATTTGGCCTACTTTTTCATCATCAGCCACCACCTTTAATAACCCCACTCTTTATTTTAACCACTTATCTTACGTACAATTGCATAATTGTAAAGCGCCTTGCATGTAAATCTATACAAGATAAGAATTTCAAACCACTGCTGGATGACGACCTCCCTACACCACAGTCATCCCTTGCAGTCCCCGCAATGCCACAATCCAACTCACTCATGAACTGGTCTCGTCTCACCTTAACAACGAGTAGCCCAGTGACACTGAACCAGTGATGAACTGGGAATAAAAATCAGGCCAGGCGTTTGTAAACACACAGACCAAGATTGCTGTGCGATCTCAACGTCCCATTTGGGCTAGGTCCTAAAAAACAAATGGGCCGGTGAGGAAGAATCTTTGGGGCTGACGAATATGGGACTTAATGCCAACTGAGAGCGCAAATAAGCAATGAAGTGTACACATTAGAGGAGTTAAAGTATTTCACATTTGCAATCAGACAGACTGGTCCACCGGCCCTCGGAATGGACTGGCCCACCAGGCATTTGCCCGGACTGCTGTGCTATGGCCAGTCCCAGGCCTGCATTGAACCCTCATAATGAGCCTCAAAGTCCAAACTGGCCCAGTGCTTAATGTTTATTGAACAAATGCTGCTGGAAAATACGTCTCCAAAGGCCTGCAAACTGATTAACTGTATATGTAGCTTTAGCTTGCTTAATGTTTGTATTGAACCAGCCCTTTGGTTTATCAACGTATTTATGTTTTATTGACAGACAATAGCTACGCAAATTCCGTTGTGATAACTTTATTGAGATAACGGTGAGTTGTTTTTAATTATACAAATAATGCCAAATGTCTTTCCTATCTCATGGCAGGAATGGCTTCAAGGGGATCGTTGCGTGTTTTCATTTTCAATGCCAACTCTGGAGGTCTTCCCTCAAGTGAAATTACATTCCCCAAATTGTTAAAGGAGCAGGGCTATTCCACTGCGATAATAGGTAAGTAAATTTTGTGTAAGGGTTATAGTTTGTTGATGGAGAAAACCTATGAAACTAGCATGTTGTGAAATCCACAGGGTAGCATTATGTGGTGGGAAGTAGAGAACAGTGCAGCAAAAGCCTTTGTTAGACTGTACTTCTATGCTCCCTGCCTTCACCGGCCTGCATTGACGAGGGTTGTGCAGGAATTAATCTCCACAATGAGTGTAATCATTGCAGTAATAAAAGTTCACTTTCCTACATGTGAAATAAATGTCATTGCTTTTTAAAGGTATTCATGTCATACAATGCACGTATAGGCATCATGGCATACAATGCACGTATAGGCATCATGGCACTGCTGCTGCCAAGTGCATCGGTCAACACTGGGACTTCTGAATGGAATCCAGTGCAGAATTATTATTCATAATCCATCCCCTCTTGCCTCTAATTGCCATTCCTTTGCCCCATACGGTGCAAACCAAGTCCATCATACATTACCCTGTACATTAAGCATATACTTCTATGGGCAATGCTGTTGTCAAGTATTTCACGTGACTCCACCAGTCTGTCAACCCACTGGCATTACTCACCTCTCCTCGTCTCGCCATGGCAACTGCGTTTCCTTGTAGACTGTCCTCACGGCGTTTCTGCATCGTGTCTATTGCTATACTCCGGAAAGCATTACTCTCGACTGCCCTACTTCAATACAACCTGCTGTCATTAAATTCAACTGTCAATTGGTTCGCGCATTCTCATCCGCGTTGCCAATGGTGATTAGGCTCACAATAGGTCTACACTTTTCAAAACAAGAAATACTTCGCTGTTTTTAATGTTCAATATGCAGACATGTATTTTAAACTCGCCGCGTCTCTCAATTCTCTGCTGTAGGAAAGTGGCACCAGGGGCTGAACTGTGACGTGGCAGGAGATCACTGCCATCACCCGCTGAGCCATGGATTTGACTATTTCTATGGAATGCCGATGACAAACCTACGGGACTGCAAGCAAGGGGAAGGCAGTGTGATCATCGCAGGAAGCTACAAATTAGTCATACATTTTGCTACCTACTCCCTGCCACTTCTGCTTGCCCTGCTCCTTTCCCATTGGGCAGGGCTTGTGCGCATCCCGAGAATCATATGGTTCACTTTCGGTGTAGTTTTGGTGAGCGTCATTGGACTTGTTGTGTTTGTCATGAGTCACTCACGGATGCTAAACTGCATTCTGATGCTGAACCACGAGGTCATTCAACAACCGATTGTGTTTGAAAACCTTACGCAGAGGATTGTTTCCCAAGCCATTGGCTACATTGACAGGTATATACCCGTTTTTTTTTACCCGGTTTACATCAACGTCCTTTACTTCCGAGTTGCACCTGGTGTCTATAACTAATTTAGGATGTTGGTTTGTGCTTATAAATGCAAAATTCGAATATGCAACAAAAAATGCGCCTGAAATTTCGTCATGTCACTGGTCATTCCGAGCCTTCTTTTGAAAGTCGGTGTGTTCCCATAAAGGTGTGGCTTTGTGAATGAACACATTGTTATAACTGAATTAAATATAATTGTAATTTTAGTTGGCATATTTTTAATGCTCTTTAGTATGATGAAAATATCTACCTTGATAGTTATGTGGTAATAATTAACAAAATTAACCCAAACCTGTTTTGGTTTAACTCCTGACCTGATACAATATTATCAAACTATTTCCTGGATAATGGCCTCCGCATGCCGATGGGTATTGGGGTTTTGCCATACTTCACCAAAGTGGCACAGCAGTTTAGCACAGTTCTATGAACCTGGGGACCAGAGTTCAATTCGCGACTCGCATCAGTGGTGAATGATTATCTGTACCACTGCTGGGTCCTCCATTCATCAACCCACACTGACCAGCATGATAAAGCATGGGGATGCTTTCATTCAGCAGCAGACTATTATATTATAGCAGGTCATAAACTAAAACACAACAAGCTTTATGTAAAATTTGTTGAGGTATGTGATGCACATTAGCCACAGATAAGTTTGTGTGCGATGTATTTTACCTCATACCTCCATGGACACTAAAGTTACTGTACTTTACCTCATCCCGAATAGTGCCGCCCTCTTCCTTTGTCTCCTATCCGACACCCCTTTACCGACCGCCCATTGCCTCTAAACGGCTGGCCTACCACACGGAGTTTAGTTTAAAATAGTTTTGACATTCCACATACGTATGTATGTTGAACATTTTTTCGCACCGTACGTAGCCAGCCCCTCTCCTCACTCTCAACCATTGCTGACCATTTCAACATCCGTTTCCTACCCCATTATAAGAACAATATTTCTCCTGCCCACAGCCCATTTCCTATCCGTATTGTTTCATGCCACTGCCCATCGTGCTCCCTCACCCTTTGGCCTTCCCAATGGCGAACGTTTCATCAAAAATAATCCACTCTAAACCAGCTTTGTTCCTGCAAAACGACTATTTTCTTTTGATCTTCCTATGAAGCACAAGACTGATATTCGTAGATAAGGCAGTCGGGGGCAAACACTGTGTGCATCGTCTTATAACAATACATCTCACATGACATAAACTGAAAATAACGGGAAGCCTATAAAACATTACATTAATCCGCCAAAAAAAGCTCCTTTTTTATTTACAAGCACAAACTTTGATGGTGGGTCATATCATTTACAGAGTTTTACTGCAGTAATCCCTCCTCTGGCAGCATCTGTTCTATAATAGCAGCTCATGGAACATTTTGTTTGGAAGGCAGTGCTGCAGTCTTGCTGTCATCCATAATGCAAAGACACGTTCTTGGCTTATTAATTGACACAAATGTAGCTTTCGTATAGACCACCTCTGTGCTTTAGCAATCCCTGCCATCCTACACCAAGATAGAAAACGCATTTCTTTGGAACTGCTTATTGTTTAGTTTGTTGTCCTTCTCCTGCTCCTCGGTTGGCTACGTAGAATGCGAAAGAAGTTCAAAATACATAAATACACAAGTCTGCAAATGACCATGCTCCTAAATCCAACACTTTGTTTAATGTGTTCTCCAATGCCCATGATTGCTTATCACTACCCACCCTTACAGGTGCCACAAGTTTGCAAGTGAACGAGCCACCTGACTCTTTCCCGTGTGGCTAATTATATAGCATCGTGAATAACACATCGGCCACATTATCAACATCAACCATAATCACACGATCTTCATAATTTTTGTCATAATCATCCCGTACCAATACCATGGTGGCACCAACTCACAATGTAATACATAGCACTAAGCCTGACCTGTTATATAAAACAGCCTATTGGCCGTTTATTAATCCATATCAAAACTTAACTTCAGTGATCAATGTAATTCATGTTACCATCTCTCTCCCATATTCTGCCTTTTTATAAAATAATCTTGGACATGTTACACTCAGGATACACCAATGTACTGTATATTCATGTTCATTTGCATGTTTACTGCAGTGCATTGTTCAAAATGTTCTCTCTTGCTACTTAACATACTGATTTTCTTATTCTTCATCGCTCACTCACCATTCACTCATTGATCCACCTCCAACATGATGAAGTGTCCCTGTGAACACTTAAATCAGTGGCTATTCATACATTATCCCACCGTGCCAGACCTGCCCACCGACTAATTGTGGTGTACCCAATATAGGCAGTTTAATGCGAGCTAAGATTGGTGCTCGGGTTTGCATTGGGAGTTGCAGGCACTACGTTTTATTAGGGGTGGGGATTATAATGATGATTGTGATGATTTGTTGATTATTTTTGACTTCGATGTTACTGATAAAAAGGACAACACTAACATTCAAATATAATTCCCTTTCATGAGTTTGTGGTAGGATAACATTGCCACATCCTACAGCTCATAGCTCACAGTTTTCTGCACACTTATTGCTTGCTTACCGCTCACTTCGAGTAAAACTTCACAGCCCTGCTTTGAAAATCACCAGCACAGACCAGCGAGCACGGGATTGGCCTGAAACAACGAAACAGCATGCGTTGGGCATGCTTCCGACACATGACGTCACTCTCATTCCTTTACGACATGTCACGTCTGGACACCTCGAGCTTATGTGACCGCTGCACATGTAAGGCGCTACATTGATCAGAATTGTTCCGTGTCAAGCTAAATGATATTATGGCACTAATTGCTTGTGCTGTCCCAGGAATCGCGATGGGCCCTTCATGCTGTTCTTGTCATTTGTCCACGTCCACACGGCGCTGTTCGCCGCCAAGCGGTTCCACGGAACGAGCAAGCACGGTTTCTACGGCGACAACGTGCACGAGATGGACTGGGCGGTTGGTATGCGAAACTTCCATCGTCCTGTAGATGTATTATGTGTATATTTGGAAATGCTCGCGTAACACTTGGTAATTGGCACAATTATAATTATATAGACGTTTTAAATATTTTAAAAAATCGAACTTGTACTTTTGTTTGATGTTTCGTTACATTTGAATTGAACAACTTTTTAACCAAGTTAATTTATTGGAAAATGTATTGGAAAATGTATGGCCAACTTTTTATTACCAATTATCCTTAGACATACGTACGTGTAATTCTCTCTGCCATGGTGGCCAGACGTCTTGGACGAGCTGGGAGTACTCACACGACCCCACTGTGCGAGAACTTCTGGTCTACTGTTACATACCCGTTTATATTTCTGGGTGGACAGAGGTGGTGGGATTTAAGAAACCTGCACCATTATTTCAACTTGTTCCCTGGTACTAAATGTTGATCCGAAAATTCCTGCCATCGATTAAAAATGAGTAGACTTGTTTTCTGTTCTTTGGGTGTGAATTTGGCAGATATGAAAAGAGCCCCGGATCCGATTTGAATCCTGATCAGTCCCATTTATAATCAGACATACCAGTGCATAACCTATTGTAATTGAAACTGTTACAATTGTTTTGGCAGTAATTCACCAGTCTTTCCAATACTGTTGTAAACAATAATTTCCTGTTGGGTCTTTTTGCAGGTGAGGTAGTGAACCACCTGGAGAAGCTGGGACTCAGTGACAACACCCTCGTGTACTTTACATCAGACCAGGGTGGACATTTGGAAGAGATTAGTGACTCTGGAAATGTGGAAGGTGGATGGAATGGTATTTATAGAGGTAAGTTCCCTAGTATAAATGCTCATCCTGATTTTTTTTATTCAGCTTTTTTTACCCAGGAAAGCTTCAGTGAGTCTCAATTCATTTTCAGGAGGGTCCTGCTAAGTATTCGCAATTGATGTTGCTGCTGTGTGTAATCTCGATTGAATAATATGCAGGTAATTTTTCAGCATTGGGATGTTTGGCCAATACCAGTTACATTGTGTGTGTTTTAGCTGTGGAAGGAAATGCAGAAGAATCCCATGCAGAACCAGGGGAGAACATACTAACCACATGTAGAAAGGTGCCCTAGTCAGATATTGAACCGAGGCCCTTCCTGCTGTTAGACACAAGTGTTCCCACTGTGCCACGCTGTGAACTTAAATAAATGTTTAAATATATAACACGGTGAACTTTAATCACCCTGCTGAACTTCTTTTCAACAGACCAAATATGCACAAGAATGGCAATGAACTTTATATACAAGCATACACTTAATTGCATGAAATACAAATATCCACCCATGTTGATCATTTAAAAGGTCAAAGTTATTTCTTGCTCAAATGAGCATTGAGGCAGTGCTCTTCTCACATTGACTGCCCTGAGCCAGTGTTGCAAACTGTATGTTGCTATGACAGTGGTGAGTTTATTCATAGAACAACCACTACTGACTTACCCACAAGGTGATACATATTTTATAGGCCCCAGAGAGATGATTGGTTGAGATAACCCCCAACCAAGACTTGAACACACTACCTTCTGATTGTGAGCCGCTCGCTCTACCCAGCTACCGTGATCGTTACCACAGAGAAAATAGACTGGGGGCTCTTTCAAATCCTTGTCAGAGAAAAGGCCACAATGTGGACACTTGACACGCGTCAGTTTTCGACCAGAGGGTTCGTGTGTCCCCTGCACATTTGCGGGCTGTACACGGATCGCACGAGTGGGCTATGTGTACCAAACGTGCTGGTACCAGCCGGTACCGCGCTGCTGTGGAGATGGTGCTGGTGGAATACGCGGACATTGTCATCAGTGCTACTGGCAGAGAAATTAGATCTCCTGCAGAAGACGTCATCATCAAAATGTATTATCTACACAGTTCAAAAGAACTGACAAATACCTTGTGAGAGACTCAGCGCAGAAGATTCCCTCGGTTAGATCTTCCGCGAAGCTCATGGCCTCCCCGAACCCGCAGCCGCACAAACCAAGGCAGATGCGGATTCCGGATGCACAAATGGAAAATTAAAAACTCTCCAGTAGTGTGCGAATGTGGTCATCCAGAACAGACCGCAATGCCCCGATCCACAAATACGAAGGAGACATCACAGCGATGATGATACACTCTGATACTCTTGGCGCGGTTTTCTGGATTGATCACCTCAATAATAATAATTATTAAATGTGAAATTGTAGCTGTTGTTTCTGCATCTACATCTGCCTTACGAAAAATCTATACAGTTCCTCCCATGCAGAACAGGAGGCAATTACAGACTGAATACGGCATTGGAAAACAATACATTATAGATAATATGCACATAAATATTGAATAAATAAATGATTATATGAAAATGTGCTTGAAAACTTTTTTTGTCCAATGCATGCGAGTTATTCATATGCCATATGGAAATGACGTGTATTTAGTTTAGTCTAAAAGTGATTAATTGTGGGTGCATTCATCATATTTCTGGCTGAGCTGTCCCACAACTTTGGTGCCAAAGTTTTCTCCATGCACTTGTTTACTCACATGCAGCAGGACCTTCCGAAAACAGAAGTTCGAGACTTGGTTGAGTAATGCTGCTGGGGCGAATTTAGCACCGGTTAAGATGCCACTAACGCCAATTCATTGTGCTGTGCCGCAGGTGGGAAGTCTATGGGTGGTTTTGATGGTGGAATTCGTGTGCCGGCAATCCTTCGATGGCCAGGAGTACTCCCTGCGAGTGTCCAAGTGGACCAGCCGACCAGTCTCATGGACATATACCCAACGGTGCTGTCACTGGCTGGAGCCAGTCTACCACAGGACAGGTCAGCCTATCCTCCTGGCCATTTCAGGGCTGCTGAAGAGCTGAGCGATTGTCATGTTTGTGACCGGGCCAGTTCATAACAATTTCTTGGTTTGTTTCATGGAGGTGTCCAATAATGTATTTGCAGGATGACCAGAGAATAATCTTAGCTACAAAGCGGACATTACGTACCTGTAGGTCTGACTTTTTGACGCAAGTAATTTGCAAGGCGCTCTGCATCTATATGTACACAGTTGAAAACTTTACACCATTGTTTAATCACATTATGGAGGGTGGAATACAGTACTCAAGAATGGTGCATCCCTGCCTGTAGGAGACCAAGAATCAGTTAAATGTAGCAGCCAATGACGGCTGGTGGGTAAATGTGTCGATGGGGCACAGAAGTCTGCAGGGAGGGGAAGTGTAAAGGTTGGATCGGGGGGGGACAGCGCAGAAGTTGGTGTAGAGGTTGGTGTATGTACTTAATAATTTTTACAATGAACAGAGCCTCGAGTACCAAACGGCCTACGCAAGTAATAGCAGAATTAACTCTGCTCTTGATCGCATGTAGCATCTCATGTGAATTCACGTTTCCCCATTTACATAAATCTTGTAGGGAATCGGAAATTCAGTAAGTTGCGTTGGCCGTGATGTATTGCATTTCTAATTCCCTACGAGCTTTATGTAACTCGGGTCGCCAGGTTCGTCACGCACGTTACTAACCTGCAATGCTACTGCTCCCCATGCCTTGCCGTGTCTAATCTCTTTATTGCATACACATTCCACATTGTGCAGGGTGATCGATGGGAAGGACTTGTTGCCCCTGCTGCTGGGAAATCAGAGCTACTCGGAGCACGAGTTTCTCTTCCACTACTGCGGCACACATCTCAATGCCGTGCGCTGGGTGCCTCGTGACAGTACGTCAGCATTCGCAGCCACTCATGTGAACGCGAGGTTCGGAAATCGCGGGCAATAACGGCCCAAAAAATGGAACGCAAACTGAAGAGTGCGAAGAAGCGTGGAGAGATGCACGCCACAGAAATTACGCTGAGAGACCGTAGGGATGTTTGTTGTATGTTGAAGTTCTTTCACACCGATTGTAGACAACCATACTAATTGGACGTGTCAGGGAAGGACAACAAAGAAAAAAGTTATAAAGAAACGAGTGTGCAGTCGATATTAATTTAATGTGCATAGCTCCCGGTGGCTTCCTAATATCGAAAGGAAGAGCGTTCCAGACGGCCGCAGAAGCGCATCTGAAAGCGCGCGATGCGGTGACCACCGTCTTTGCTCGATGGCCGATCGTCGATAACAGCGTTGGGGTGGCAGCCAAGGAGGGGAACGCATCCGAGGGGATGTCCACCGAGGAAATGGGAGCGATGAAATCGTCTCATGTGCGCGGTGGGATTTATACATTGAAGTGCTGTAAGAGATGACGACTTGGGGAGGCCTCATTCAGCAGTGGATTGATCTTGGCTGATGATAAAATATATTCACTTGTAAAGTGAGGATCTAAAAATCGCATGCATTGGTTTTGCCAAGTTTCTATATTGATCCGTCTGCCTGGAAGCCTCATTCATTTGTCGGCCTTCAATAGGTTCGGTGTTCAAAGACAAAACCAAAAAACTTACAACGCATACAGAATTTTTTTATTTTGATGATTAGATGGGAATATGCCAGAATTTGTCTCATGTGGAAAGGAAAGAGCAATATATGTACACTCCATCATTATCGCCTCAATGTGCGGGTTTTTTTAATGAATGGCAACGGTTGAACCATTTTTACTTACCCCTTGCACCATCTAAGATCGTGTAATTGAGTAAATGTGGTGTTGCTCTGTAGAAAGGATTCACCACTTTATGTAAAAGTTATTTAAGTTTCACGCCTAACATTCACGTTCATTATTTATCCTAACAGGCCAGCTCATTTGGAAGGTGCATTTCTTCTCGCCGGTATTTTCTCCTCCCGGAAGCAATGGGTGTTACAACACGGTCATTTGCCACTGCCACGGCAACTTTGTGCAGACACACGACCCCCCGCTGGTCTTCGAGATGCAAAGCGATCCTTCAGAGAGCTCCCCTTTGGCCGTCACAAGCGCCGCTGTCCAGGAGGTGCTGGCTGTGGTCCAGAGGGCCGTGTCCTCGCACCAACTGAGCCTCATGCCGGTGCCCAGCCAATTCTCCTTAAACAACTTGCTCTGGAAGCCCTGGCTGCAGCCTTGTTGTGGCTTTCTTCCATCGTGTGGCTGCGACAACGATGTGACCCTCCCGCATGAATAACGTGCCAGTGGAAGGGGAATTTAATGAAAATAATTTGTTTGATCAGTTTCACATTTTCCTTCAAACGCACTGATACTCTACAACATGCTGTTTCATTTACCATCAATATTACCGCTGTCCAGGTATTGGGATTCGAGGATAGAATGTGCATTACAAATGTTTATTATTATTATAATGGAACGTGCCCTATAGCATGTCCACCGAGAAGATAGAGCAATGAAATCAGTGTGTGTGTGCAGGTGCTGGGTGGATTGTTATATCACAAGATCGTGTGAGGTAGCGGTGGCTTGGGGCGGCCTTCATCCAGCAGTGGATTGACCATTGCTGATGGAGACAGTGGATATTTTCAGTCATTTCGATGGCAGTCTTATATGACTCTTGAGAGATGTTTTCTCAAACGGGTTTATTAAACATTTGTACCTCAAAGAGTTACTGTTTGTGCACATATTATTTGGGTCTTTCGGTAAAGCCACGTAGATAAAAAAAATAATCAAAATAATAACAATATCACGACGTTTCGATCGCAACGGTGAAAAAAGAGGGGGAAATCTGCCGAGGCAGGCTGTTTCTGTTTATAAAGGTTTAGAGATGGGCGGGGCAGCTAATGTTAATGTAGGAGAGGTCTCCGTAACATGCAGTAGGTCTACACCAATCAAAGAGCTGTTTACAAATGGTTTAGAGATGGGCGGGGCAGCTAATCCCAATGTGGGGGAGGTACTAGGGAGCTGTGGGGGGTGGCCATTGTATTGTGAGAGATTAGCATGTCAATGTAAGACAGCGCAGTGGCCACATGGAGGTGGAAAAGAATGGCAAGCCGCCACTTACTAATGCAGCTAACGGTGGCTGTGTTAGTGAATGTAACTCAGATAATCTAAAATAACTGCTCGGTAGGATAGGAACATCATAGCCAGTTATGATCTAAACAGGTTAATAACGTCCTTCCAATGATTGCTCAGTTTGTACCCATCTTCTCAGTTGAAATTGTGTCTGTGTTTATATATCTGGATGGCTTCATGAACAAATCTTTGTTGATAGCCAGTGGGTTTACAGAGTACCTTTGTCTTGGCATAATCAATTTCGTGTGTGCCCACAGCGTTAAAATAATGATCAGCCATGGCTGCGGTATTGGTCCTACCGTGTTTCAGATCTGCCTTATGCTCACGGACCTGGTCCGAGACATGTCGCTTAATTTCCCCAATGTAACTGCTGCCGCAGACACAGCTTAGTTTGTAGACACCGGGGTGTTGTATGTCGGGGATGGCATCCTTCACAGAAGGGATGAAATCACGAATTTTATGTACTGTGTTCAATCGTACCTGGATCTTGTGTTGGCTCATGATTTTGGAAAACTTTTTGGTGACCCCTGCTTTGTATGGCAAGGTGATGGTTTTGATTTTGTCCTCAGATGGTTCTCTTCCCACGGTTGGGTTGATAGCTTTACGGATTGTGTAGTCCGAATATTCATTCCTCTTGAGGGTTTGGTGTACGTGTTCCAGTTCACTGGCTAGGTGGTGATGGCCGGAAATACAACGAGCTCTGTGGTATAGAGTTTTGATGAGGGAATTATTCTTGGATGGATGGTGATGGGAGTCAGGTTTTAGGTAAGCATCCGTATGGGTGGCTTTCCTGTAGACAGAGTGTCCCATTTAGCCATCAGGTCTCTTTTCGATTTACACATCCAAGAATGGTAACTTGCCATCCTTTTCCACCTCCATGGTGAATTTGATAGCTTGGTGTATGGAATTGATGTGGTTGAAGAATTGGTCCAGAGCTGGTAGGCCATGTGGTCAGATGACGAACGTCTACGTACCTCTTCCAAAAAGAATGACGTAGGGTGGATTCCTGGATAGCATCTGTCTTAAATTTCTCCATGAAAACATTGGTTACAGCTGGAGATAAGGGAGAACCCATATGGGTACCTTCAACTTGTTTGTAGAATGTTCCATGCCAGGTGAAGTAAGTGTTGGTGTGGCAGTGTCTAACCAGGGCTGGAACATCAGCATTCAATCCTTGTTGGACCAAATCTTCAATGATTGCAATGGTGTCAGGCACAGGAACTTTGGTAAACAAAGATACCACATCGAAACTGACAAGCAAATCACCTGGAGATAGTTAGATATCCTTAATGAGAGATATCAAGTGAGCTAAGTACAGCTGAGGTGGTCTTACCAGTAAATGGCTGCAATGTCTCAGACAGAAATCGGGCCAGTTTGTAGGTGGGTGAGCCAATGGTGGAGATGATAGGGCAGAGTGGTGTGCCTTCTTTGTGGATTTTTGGTAAGCCATAAAATCTGGGTGGTCTAGCAGCAGAGGGTTTTAAGGCAAGCCGCTTGGTTGGTTCGATTAAAGATGTCGAATCAGTGATGATGTTGGTTTTCGTAACCAGGCAGTTGGTAGAATCTCTATTGATTTTGGTATAGCTGCCATTAAGTAGGTCCTGAATTTTGTTATTGTATGTGGGTTTGTCCAAGATGACAGTGGCATTGCCCTTGTCGGCTGAGAGGATGACTATGTCATCTCTCTTTTTTAGTTGAGAGAGTTCAAGGCGCTCATCCTTGCTGATCTTGCTAATAGGTGTCTTAGCGTTTTTGAGTATTGCAGCGATTTCGGATCTTGCTACATCTGCAGAAATGTGTCCCAAACCCTTAAGGGCTACGTCGACCTGGGCAATGATATCATCAACTGGAATGTGTTTAGGGGTAACTGCGAAATTCAACCCTTTAGCTAGAATCGATTGCTCTGATTGATAACAATCTTGTCACCATCTAACTTTTCAGTGTCTGGATCTGGCTTCTTCTTGGAGAGGAGGTTGAACTTGGAAATCAAGTTATCTTTGCATTTAGCTGACATTGACGCGGCTGACGAGGCTGTCATGTTATCTACAATGTCCCAATCAGATGTAGACATTTTTTCTGTCAATGTTAAGTGTGAGTGCACATCTTGGCAATTGTGGCCAGTATCTGGAATGGTGTTCCTTTAATGATTTGTAGAATGAGTGTCAAAGTTAATGAAAAAACTTGTAGGGAACACCGAGCTTATTTTAAAGAGACATTTTGACGACAGCATGAGCTAGTGATATAGTAACCATGCGTCATGACATGGTGACCAATCACCCCAACATCATTGCACCACCAATGCCTGTCAAACTGGGGAAGATGATTCTGCTGCTCGTGAAATGATCTAAATGGGGCCCGAGTTAATTTTAGCTTTTATCTGTTTTAGCTCAAATGACTGATTTCAATTGAAAAACACATTATATAATTATATTGACGCAAATACAATTTTTAGTTTTAAAACTGCTAATTGCCAATGCAGATTTAATGCTTAACAGATAGTGGTGACAAGCAGAAACTTGCAGAGGCGCACAGACAGCAGAATTTTGTCGCTTGCATCGTTGAGTCAGAGCGCGTATGTGGAGCAGAGAAAGGAGTCGAGATGAAGGCGCCGTGGCACGCTCACGAGAGACCAACTTCAGTAAGGGTGGCGACTCAGACTCAAACGTAACCATGGTCGTCATGTACGGCACTGAAGATGTTGACACCTTTTATTGGCGCTCGTGTCACGGTGTAGTGGGTGGTGGCTGATTGCAGTTGCCACCCCCTCTCCCAGTGATTGTGGTGGATTCCATTGAACTCCTTGTGCACATCTGCTTTTGGCGATGGTGTGATTGCCTTGGGTTGCCACTGCTCTGTTGTGGGAGCCATTGGCATGCTCGAGGTTGTGCTTGAGTAGATGACGTGGGCACATTACAAGAGACGTGTATTGGAATGGCACCCAGGAGTCGGCAACCAAGGGAATACCTAAAGCCACTCGGACACTAAAGGCAGATTTAGGAAAATTAGCAAACCATATCTGTTTCCCTTTAAAGGCACAGTTATTAAACAATTGTTACGTTATTTGGGAAGTTCAGTGTTTACTCGGCTACAGCTGAGGGATCTAGTAGAAGGAAAATGGCGATAGTCTGGTGTGGTGGCATCAATGGTATTCACTATGACCTCTTGACCTTGCCTTTAGCTGCCATAGGATTGACCACTGCAACTGATGCGGGATAATGGCTGCAACTGAAGATATCTGTATGCCAATTTTCTCTTTATTTTACTCTTGTTTTAAGTAACCAATCTTGTAACGGGTAATCTCCCATGTGTATCCCAGAATGTGAACCTTTGCAAATGTGAACTTCATATATATTTTTATTGCATTAGGAAACATATGCAAGCTATGATGGTAGTGAAGTTCTTGCACTCTGTCAAATCTGTGTAGTGGCGTGGATGATGTTTGCACACCTGCTTTGAATGCAAATTGTTGGAATTATACAAAAATAAAAGTGAACGTCGGCATTATTATTTTGTGTAACCAGCCTCAGTTCATAAAAAAACGACTTCAAGTTTTTGTTACGATGCATACAAACACATAAAACTGAGTTTTTTTAACAGGTTAAATGTCTTTACATTAACAGGTAAAATGTCTCACTAGCACAGCCACCGTTGCTCGTTTTCCTCGATGTGGCGGTGGCTCTGCGATCTTACATTGACATGCACATTTTCACTTTAACATCACTAGCCCCGCCCACTTCAAATATGACCCTTGGGCTACACCCATTTCAAACCTTTAAAACATCCTGCCTCAGCAGCTTTCCCGCTATTTTTTCTCCTGATGACGATTGCTTGTATTGCGATCGAAATGTAGTTTTTTCTTATTTTCTTTGAAGCTATCTACGTGACTTTACCGAAAGACCTAAGAATATGAATTCCTGCAGTCACGAAAGCTTTTAGTCAAGATTTGCAATTACTTTGTTTAATAAAACCCTATGTATTTATTTTTAACAATTTACGATGGAGAACCAAAGGGGTGCAGGCTCCAGTAAAGGTTAATAACCACTGCATTACAGTATCACGCAGTCTATTTACGTGAAAACCGCCGTGTATATGTCAATATTTTCTCAAATAATTATAATTGACCAGTCATAATTACAATTATTCCATTTCTCATTTACATTTTTAATTCGTGATGAGAAAGTGTAACCAAGGCCTTTAATATAGGAGTCTGGTAGTATCATGTTAACTTCACCTTGTACTTTGCATTTCACTTTTAAGACTCTGAAAGACTCTTGTGGTTCGAGTGTTAAAAAGGTTTATAGCGGGAATTTCTGCATAATTTAAAGAACGCAGAAACACATTCTCCATCTCCAGAGGGATGGAAGCCCTGGAATTTTACAAAAAGCACATTCCGTACATTCGAAGGCCGATCTGTGGGCAGCTGCAGCAGCTGCTGTACCATTAACGGAGATTTGTCGATGAACCACTTGGGCCAATGGAAATAGTTTTAATCCTGGTCTTAAATACTGCCTCATCCGGGGAAGCTCTCTTTACCAGTGTGGTTAATTAAGCATGCGGTGTTCATCCATGGCTGTTATGTAAACCCTTGAAAAACGCAACGTACGCTGTGCGAGCCGACGATGCCGCATGCAAGGGGATTGCAAACGAGGGTCTCCTGCGAGGCTGCAGGTGCTGAGGCACGGAGCTTTGCTTATGGTGAGGGAGAGGTCCCCGTGCTGCCTCGGGGTGCGGCTCACGCCAGCGATGCACTCGCCGACAGGAGACCCCTGCCCAGGATCTATCCCTCTCCTCACAAAAAACGTATATTTGCCACAATCTCCAGTACGGTATATATATTTATACTTGTAAGCCACTGGGTACTCTAAAGCGGAGAGTTAAATTCACATTTAAGCTCCATGTTTCGCACAAGGGGCAATACGTACCATTTATATTTGACGAGCTTCTTTGCTCGTCCTAGGACGGAAGCTGTAATATTTACGAAAAAAATTAGCAGAGTATAATTGTATCTTCTGGAAATGTAATGGCAGTGAATCTTGCACGAAAGTACGTCTTCAAACACTTCACTGCATGTCACTGTAGCACTGTATTAATGGCAGTGAATCTGTCACAAAACGAAGTCATAAAACACTGCACTGCAGTTCACTGTAGCACTGTATTAATGGCAGGGATGCTTGCACAAGAGGGGCCGTCCTTAAATGACGTCACGCACCTGGCGGTGGGGGTGGGGTCAGACATTTGTGACGATGTGTGACAAATTGCGTGACGTCATTTATAGACGGCCCAAAACTACGTCATAAAACACCTCACTTCGTGTCACTGTAGCACTGTATATAACTGACCTTCAATTTGTCCAAATTCACTGCCCTGATACTTTATTATCTTCTGCTTTCGGTTGCTGGGGTTGAAATAAATTGGAAATCGATACAATATCTGGGAAATCACTGAAAAATGTCTATTTTACCATAATGTAGAAGCATAAATTAGACTTACCTTTTGTCTCAAGTGCTGAAGAAATAAATAAAGACACAAAATCCCCTTTGTTGCTGCGTATAATTATTTATTAGATTCACTTTCAATAAAAAAACGTCAAAAAAGCGAATTTGCGAATTTTTGTATTTCCGCTCGACCTTCTGCGTGAGTGTAAAAATCCACCTGCTCATGAATATTAATGACGGGGGGGGGGGGGGGTGCGACATGTGGAGTGACGTCACGCGCGTTACACACAAATAGACATTATTGGCTCATTATAGTAGTAATTATTGACGAATATGTACTGTTAAACATTAATGATAATTAATTACGTTGAGCTTTTTCGTCTATTATATATTTTACATATTGTATTCATTACATATTGTAACACAGTACACAAAATTTGTGACCTGATCTCATCTGTGAAGGACAAGATCCTTGACATGTAATATCCCGGCGTCTACAAACTAGGCTGCACCTGCGGCAGCAGTTACATTGGGGAAACCAAACGACATGTCTGAAACACGGCAGGACCAATACTTCTGCCGTAGATGACCATTACTTTAATGCGGCTGACTCACGTGAAATGTATTTCTCTAAAACGATGGTACTTTGTAAGCCGAGTGGCTATCAACAAAGATTCGTTCTCGAAGCCATCCATAGAAACAGACACAAACACAATTTCAACCGAGACGACGGTTTTAAACTCAGCAATCATTGGAAAGATGTCATCAACCACTTTGGGTCATGATTTGAATTTGTGTTTCCTTGTCCACCTCTACCGGTCAGCAGTGTGTATGGGCGTAGCGAGGTGTGTGGTGCCACGACCGCGGAGCAACTCCGCAATCGCCGCGATCCCCTCCCGGGCCCCGCACGAAACACGCGCTCACAGCACGGGGGGAGGGGCCAGGGGAGAGGGGAGGGGCCAGGGGAGGGGGGAGGGGCCAGGGGAGGGGGGAGGGGCCAGGGGAGGGGGGAGGGGCCAGGGGAGGGGGAGGGGCCAGGGGAGGGGGGAGGGGCCAGGGGGGAAATAGTCTGTGGGGGGCGCAGACGGGGAGGGGGGAGGGGAAGCCCTGGACCCCCCGCGGAGGTGTATTCCGCGGGGGGTCGAGGGCGGGCACGTAGACAATGGATCGGGGCGTAACGGAAAATGACGCTCCAGGTAAGGGTAGGGCATTAGTTTAAAATGGAAAGGTAGGCGCATAATTGGCTGCGTGGTATGATGGCACCCCGGGCTTTTGAAGTTAAGAGGATAAAAAGAGCAGCTGAGTTGGGGCAGTGGTCTGCAACCTTCGGGCCGCCAAGACCCTCTCAGTGCCGTCCTGCCTCTTTGAGCCGCTCACTGCATCCGTGTGATGCAAGCGAGTGCTGCTGCGAGACAGTGATAGGTAAAGTCTTCTCGCGTCTTTCCTCCAACTCTCACAGTGTCCGTGCGACGTCGTGAGTCCAGCTTCGAGGTACGTGGTAGAACGCTTGAGTGACTGGGTTCATAGGCAGAGTTAGGCTAATCTCTAATCACAAAGTATTCCCCCTCCAGATAGAGGGTATTTGCACCGGTAATAAACTTTAGTTCAGAGGATCAGTGCAGTGTGATTTCTGTGTGTGCGGGGGGAACCTCGGTGCGGTGCTGTTAATTTGAGCGTGTGTGTGAGCTGCGCGGGTCTTAAAACATACACGGCCGCCGACGCTGGCGCGTGTTTACGCGCACGTGTGTGAAACACGAGCGCCTGCAGTGTGCCGTGTGAGTTATTAGGGCAGGGGCAGGGTGTGATAAACCCGCTTGCCGGCATTTACACAGCGTGTTTACACAGCGACAATAGCATTAACGGCGAGGTGGGTACGTGCATATTCATACAGTCCTTTAGCATTAGCCTTTGTGTGCAAGCAGATTAGGGCTTAACTACCCGGGGGATGCGCTCGCATATTAATACCGCCGTTTTCTTTAGCGCTAACCTTTGCATGGAATTAGCGCCTGTAGGGGCGCGCGTGGTTATGCGTATGTGTGCGATATATGCACCTGCAGGTGCGCGTGTGTGCACTCCTCCGCGTTCGCTTGTGTGGTGGTGTACGTGGGCGTGTGCGGGATAACTCCGGGCGGTGGTGAGCCAGCCAATCAGCCATGTCCCTCAGAGAGGGCGCTGGCGCGGGGGGGCCGATCACCCGATCGGCGGGGGCCCGGCGAGAGGGGCCGAACGGCACGGTGGAGGAAGGAGTGGAGGGGGGAATGGAGGGGGTGGACGTCGCACCCCGCCCGCTCACAGAGAGCGGGGAGGCGGACGTCCCTGTCTTGGGTTGACTGGAGCACCTCACCTGGGCCGCTCCAACCAGGTAGCACCGCGGAGTCCGTGGTACTCACCCGGCCCTCGTTGCCGGTGTCGTGGGCAGTGGCTCCGCTGTCCGAGGCTCCAGCGGTGGTCTCCGTCTCTATTTCAGAGGCGCCTCCCATCCTCCGGTGTCTGCTGGCTGGGGAACAAACTCAGGGGCGGAGGGGTTAAAGTGCCGCCGCGCCCGCCGCCTCCTTGCCGGGCGGGGGTCCGCTGGGAACTGGGGCCCAGCGGGGCCCATGTACGGCACGAAGCCATCGGGTACGGGGGGCATGGGGGGCGCGGGGATTCCGGGGTTTCAGGGTACCCGAAGGGCGGGGGCTTCTCCCGCCGGGGCCGCCCTCCATGGTTTTAGTCAGCGGACATTGACCACCGTCTCTCGGCGCCTCTCCCCGCCCTGCACCACGGTCCAGGGTCCGCGCCAGTAGGTGATCAGCTTCCCCACCTGTCCGGCCCCTACGCGCGGGGTATGCAGCCATACTTTAGAGCCCGCTGAGTAGAAGGGGGGCTCTACACGGGGGTGGGCACCCTCCTCCTACCGCTGATGTGCGGCCTCCCCCTGTCGGCCACGGGTCCCTCGCAGGGTCCCCATGAGGTGCTCCAAGGGCTGGCTCCCTTCCTCCCGTTGAGGTGGGGGAACGCCGAATAGCAGGACTGCCGTGAGGCGAGACTCCCGACCAAACATAATTAGGAAGGGGGTCTGCCCAGTGGAGGTGTGCACTGTGGTGGTGTAGGCGAACAGAGCATAGGGGAGGTGTTCATCCCAATCCTGCTGATTGGCAGCCGCCATGCGTTTGAGCTTCCCGGCTAAGGTCCGGTTAATGCGCTCCACCATACCATTTGCCTGGGGGTGGTATGCCGTGGTTCGGTCCTTCTGGATCCTGAACTCCCAGCACAGCGCCTGAAATAGCTCTGCCTCGAACTCACTACCCTGGTCAGTAATGACTCGTTTGGCAATCCCATGTTTAAGCACGTAATACTCCACAAAGGCCCGGGCGACCACAAGGGCCGTCTTGTCTGGGATGGCCACTGCTACTGGATAGCGCGTGAAATACTCTACCACTACGAGAATGTACCGGTTGCCTCGGTGGGATCGTGAGAATGGCCCCTGTAGGTCGACCCCAACTAGCTGGTTCACCCGGCTGATGCGAAACAGCCTCAGGGGCACCTGATACCACGCCGGTTTCTGCCCACACTGTTGACAAGCGCGGCAGCCCTGTACCCAGGCGGCCACGTCTTGCGCCAGTTTGGGCCAGAGATACTGGCGACGCAGGGTCTCCCAAATTGCGCCATTCCCCATCATGGCCCCCGAGCGGGTGGTCGTGCACCAGCCGTATCAGCTGGGGCCATACCTGAGCAGCTTCGGTTAGTTCCTGCACCACCCCATTATTTACACACAACCGGGCGTACAAACCACTCCAGGGTCCCTGTAGGGTGACCTTTTCTTCCCGCAGGGCCGCCTCCACCGCCGCCAGGTCCGGGTCTCGCTTCTGGGCCTGTCTCAGCTGCTCGTCATCCAGGCTCGGGAACGCGCAGCCGACGTCCTCTTGGATCCGACCAGGCGGGGCCGAGCGGCCCGTCGGGCCCCTGGGTGCAGGCTCCGTGCCCGCCGGGCGGCCCACCGGGCCGCCAGCTTCTTCCGCAGGGACCTCTGTGGCACACACGGCACTCTCTCTCAATGGAGGGGGGTTAGTCTCAGGGCATTCCAGGGGAGCCATTGCCTGTCGGCAGTGTCTCCCCTTGAAACATGGGCAGGCCTCCTCAACCCGTGTCTCAGAGCACACCGTGGGTCGCCTTGACAATGCGTCTGCCTGCGTCCGTGTGTCCAACCAGCCCTGTACTCGATCTGCAGGTTATAGATGTTAAAACATAATAAGAGGTCTATAACACCTGTTTTGTTGCAAGAAAAAGGGGAAAACCTATTATCATATTTTGGTACTGGCAAAGGAGGTCCCATGATGTAGATGCTCACCCCGAGCTCTCATTACTCTGATAGTGCATTGTCTTTGGGCTGTACACCTTTTGGCGTCCTCTGGTCTAACACCGTTTGAGACGAGGCTCAAAAGAAAGCTGTCTCTGGTGTGGACCAATTAGTTTCACGGACAATGCATCAGAGTATTTTCTTTGTTTGCATTCTGACCACAAGCATTGTGGTTAACGCAGATATGATTCCTTGTAAAAGGTTTTAGTTTGGTGTTTTAACATCTTAACACCTCTTTTGTTGCCTAAAAAAGGGGAAAACCCTATGATCATATTTTGGTACTGGCAAAGGAGGTCCCATGAAATATTTCGTAACTCATCATTGACAACGAGGGGGTAGTGTTGGGCATTGTGTGGCTAGTGCGCTGCACCACGAAGCAGGTGACCCGAGGTCGTCCCCCGGGCAACGGCGAACATCAGTAGCGAGTGACATCTGAATCTGGTTTTGGGCCCTAACCCTCTTAATCAACACTGTGTTGAAGCATGCTCAAACAATTGTCAATGCCTGACGAGTCGTGGGGCAGCTCTTCATTCCGGCAGTGGATTGCAAATGGGTTGTAATCTTCTTGGTTCTTTCGGTAAAGTCATTGTTTTATTTTTTATTATTTTATTATTTCCCTGCTACGTGACTTTACCGAAAGAACCAAGAAGATGAATCCCTGCAGTCACGAAAGCTTTACATCGAAATGGGTTGTAAATTAATTAACCGTGGAACCTGGGTGCTATGAGCACTCGGGCAGCAGCCACCAAG